TGGTCTCCCCATGAACTGGTGGTGTCAAAGCAGGTGTAGGTGCTGTGACAGGTGGCCTAGCTACCATGACCAAGGCTTCCAGTTGAGTTGTCAGTTGGTCCTTCAACGCGATGAACTGAGCTTCCATCTTTCGCTTGAAGGTTTCGTGGTCAGCTCTCATGAGGTCGAGTTGCTGGGCAACGGTGACCTGTTGCTGTTGAAAGCGGATCAGCATGTCTTCCATTGCTGGGTTATAGATGAGGTCTGGGTGACAACTGGGGCTCAGCTCTGAAATCTCCCCATCACCCAGCTGGTGGTTGGTCCTACCATAGGCCATTGGTGCCGGCCTCTTCTCAAGGATGTCGAAGGGTGATTTGTATGTGTCTGGTGGGAACACTGTTGACACAGGTGGTGCCGGTGTCTTCTCTAGAATGTCAAAGACGGATTTGTATTCATCTGGTGGTGGCACTGGTGGCTGTGTGTCCCAATGCCGGTGGCGGTAGGCTAGGTTGCTGTTGCCAGCTCCATCGTGGTGTGTGGGAGGACGGTCACAGGTGTAGCTACCTTGGACTTGGGGCCCAGAGTAGACGCGGTGCCACCAACGTTCGGAGTAGCCAGGGGCATAAGGGTCACTCACATCGCTGTAGAAACCGTAGAAAGACATGGTGCCTCTTGTTGTCTGTCACAGGAAGAGGTGTAGGCTGTACTTGGTGGCAACACTGGATCTCAGCTCTTGTTGCAGTGCAATAAAGGCTGGCTCAACTGTAATCTGGAATCCACAAAGATGACCTCCAGGAACCTTGCTATGGGCCTGGAAAATTCAATCTAGGTGTAGTTGAATAAGGTAGCCAGTGTAGAGGGTCTGGAACCTGCTTCCTGAATTGCCGTGGTGCTGGGAATTGGCTTGGATTTGTGAGATTTTGCCTCACTGGAAGCTAGCTTACTGGGATCAATGAATCTCCCCACAAAAGCTCCTAGAATCCAAGGTGAGCTACCCACTGACTAAACAAAGGATGGCGGATCCGCTGGTGATATCGATACCCTCTCGAAACAGTCGCTTCCTTGTCTTGTGATCGCTCCGAGTTGCCTCTTCAATACCGGTAGATCGTTCGGAGATCGCGATTCCCTGCCGAATTCAATGACTCGACCACGTAAAACCTTTAAAATGTGAGGGCGAATCCAGTTTACGAAACTGGGCCTGCTTTCGGTACGAAACCGGTACGGAGAACGTTGTCGTATAAGTCTTCGAAGGATCGGTGACCGGTAAAGGCTTCCAGGATCGCAAATGAACTTCTTGTATGTTCCGCTCGAAGAAGCAAACTGACTCAGTGCACGTCGTATAAGTAGCGAAGTTGCACGGATGATTTGATTGGCTGAGCGGCTTTCAAAGAGAACGTTCTGGAACTGATACGTTCCATGTAAATCACTCGGAAACTGCACGGATGATCTGATTTCTTCTGTGTAAATCGCCGGGTAAATAAGCCTCGGAACAGCGCAATAAATCCAAGCGTGCTACGTGATTTCTTTCAACGTTCCGTGGAATCGCACAAAGGAATAAGCCCGTACTGAGAAGAGATATCGGGCTGTTGCTCTTGGGACGTAACAATAAGTCTCGTGTTCTCTCGGAGACTCCAGCTGAGTACGTTGCCGGTTACACCTTCTTCGTTCGAGTGAATTGGGTGCTTTTCTTCGTACCTCAAGCCTCAAGCTGAGGTCGTCGGCAATGGCGTCGAGGATGAAGGTGTTGGAGTATAGGTCCTCTCCAGGCAACGGGCGCTGTGTTGGATGTGTAGTTGGTAGGAGAATGGTCAACTGAGAGGTTCCTGTCCCTGTGGTGAAGGTTGGAAGTATCAAAATTGACCAGAAGGTTGTGGAGATAAGACTTCAAGATGGGCCTTGAAATCACCACCAAATTCCAATGAAATCCAATGAATCCAACTGTAGCTGTAGCACTGATTGTTGTAATGTGGAGAGCTCCTTGTCGACCTGGAGACTCTCCTTAATTCCCTTAAAACTGCCTGAATTCTATGCGGTCTGTTAATCCAATAAGTTTCAGTTCCAGTACCCAAGTAGTGGACTGGACCTCGCTGAAACCCTTCCTCAGGTACAGCGGTAGTCAGGCAGTTCAGGGAGCCTTGTCATGCCTCAGGAGTATTCCAACACCTCCAGTAGGCACCAAGCCAAGGACTTGGCCCTGTCAGTCAGACAGGAGGGCCAGCAGAGCTCTCTGCTGGACCCTTTGGGCCAGCTCTCCTCAGGAGCTGGGAGCCTTTGTTATTCAATCGTGCAGTGGCAGTCTGGGAACAGTACTATCTGCTACCTCCTACTGCTTCTGCCCGGCCTCAACAGGATAGGTATCAACTGCTGCAGTATCAAAGGGGCTACAAGCTAATCAGGATCGGTCTCAATCTTTCGTACTATTTTCTTAACTATGGTAGAAAGGACGATCCTTTCTTGCTGCTTTGCTGGAGATAAGCCAAATGTGCATGCTGGAGCTGTAGGCCAGCATAGCTGTTGGAGCTATCTCTGACGGGATCCAGAGCTCTCGCTCCTAAAAGTTATCGCTCACCAAGCTTCTCGTCACCCAATCGGGCTCCAGTTTCATCCAAGTGCCATGTCAACACATCATCATACACAGTCAAAGGCGCCTTGTTCTTTCGAAGGATATCCATCAATTTGACACCCCGAGCCTGTTTCTTATCCAAGGGGAGGAATGTCTTCTTTGAATCTGCACAATATTGCCGGAATTGGTTGATGTTCCTATCGTCTGGAGGTTCATTGTCATGGTTCCATTCCTTGGGAATTTGTACCAGGGTAGCTGTTGATCCACCACTGCTGGTCTCATCATCATCTTCATTACTATCATCATCATCTGTGTCTTCTTGCGAATCATCGTCACTTCCTTCCTCATCAGTTTCCTCTATGGCTTCCTCATCTGCCTCCTCTTTTGCTTCCTCATTGCCGTCATCTCGGGTACCAAACCGCGGGTCAGCTGCTGGTTTTCTATTGTCTTCCTCGCTTTCGGAACCAATACCACCACTATCTTGCATGGCCCAAGCAATTTGATCTTCCTCCACCATGTCTTGTGGAATGGCTGGCATTTGACTCGATGTGCCTCTCTCCTCTCCTGCAGATCTTCTAACTTGCCGTGGTGCTTTAGCGGGTCTTCCAGTGTCAGTGGCACCAAGCCCTGCAGTAGTCATGTCCCTTTTTCTCCTAGTACTAGTACTTCTTGTTGCTTTGCCAATGCCAAGTGCATTCTGCCTTGCTGGTGCAATGCAACTCCGAGATTGGTTGGTGTGAGCACTTAGTGCCCTCTTGCTTTCAAACCAAGCTTTACAGTAGTCGCAATACCAATAACCCATGATACAACTAGTAGTAGTAGCTAGCTAGTAGTAATTGCCGATCGCTAGCCCATATAAAGGAACTGTAATACCTTAGGCAAAGTCTACACGACCTTACAAAATATGAGTGTGGTTACCAAAAGCTAACCCCCAAACCGCTCTGTACCGGATTCTGTATGTAGTTTCCATGTTCATTGGTATGGCATAGGGGACAAAACGGGACCACAAAATTGGTCGGTACCTATGGGGTTGGGAATTTAGGATGCATGCAGGGTTCCAAAACGGTGCATACTGCCACACCCAATGGAGAACCCAGTACATGTTCCACAACAAACACCATCCAAATCCGGGAGCAATGACGTCACCAATCGCCTAGGGACGCATGTCGTTCGGTACCTTCCAGACCTCGCTGTTTTCGCGAGACCCCATTATGCGCTTCTTAGATGTTACCCCCTTGTTTTCCAAATTGCACCAACTTGGCTGTCATGGACCTAGAACTGACTGCCATCCCATGGTCCATAGGATTCAATGAGGGATGGCTTTCGAATCTACACCGGAGAAGGTCGGCTTGAGTGAGGCTTGATAATAGAGATAATAGAGGTGCGAACGATCGACTTGAATAAATAAAACAACTCACCTGGTGACGGCTGAGATCTGACTGCCTTCCCGCGGTCCATAGAAATTGAATGAGGGATGGCTTTCGAATCTACACCTTCAATAACACTCTTGGAAATTGGCTTACCTCGTACGGTACCGTACCAGCGGTTCGACCGATCCAACACCATTCTTGTCGGCCAAGCTTGGATTTCTCTCCTGTTTGCCATAGCAATTCAATGAGGGAGAGAAGTCAGTGCTGCACCTTCAACAATGGATTTGGCTGGACCTGTACCGGTACGTGCGCATGCGATGAGTTAGTTTAACCTTAACCTTAGAACCTTCAACGGTTTTTTTAATCCACGAATCGATCTAAATGTATGTGTACAGATGTTAAAACACGTTAAGTACAGGTTTGGTACTTACGGATACACATGACCGTTGATTCTGCAACTGAAGTGCTGCTACTCTATTTTACACAGTAAACGCGGGCGAATCGATTTCAGAGTGCAACTGAAGGGGTAACCAAAAGGAGCGCCGTCTCAAGGAGACGGAATTTCCTGTTTCCAATTTTTATTTTAGATCGTAAACGTTCCCATTTCCGCTTGAGCTCCAGGGAAGTTAGTCTACGGTTTTTATTGTCCAACTCTTTCCACGACCGCCATACTACATACTAATAGTGGAGATGGAGCGTCCGAAACCCCGAGTGCAATGCATGATCGGTACGACCAGAATCCTGTTGGTTTGAACGGAGGCCATTGCATCTTTGCCATCGTCAGAGCCAGCATGTACCATGAAAGCCGGTAGTGGGCTTTTCTTTCGGAACAGAGCGGCACAAAGGCATTTGCCATCTTCAAACGCCAAAAAGGCGTGTTCGGTACCGGTGCTGTACGTATAGCGCTCTTGCGGAAGCTTCTGTCATTATTATTTTTAAAGTGCATGTCCCTGAAGAACCTCCGAAGATTCGATCGATTCAAACAAGAAGGGCTCATCCCACCCGGCCCATTCGTGTGCTATTACTGGCGAGCTTACAGAGGTTACTGCAGCTATCTAATAGCTCGGAGACTTGCCTCCAAGAAGGCAATGGATGCAAACAGGGCTTTCGTAGAAGCTCCCAGTGAGGGAACCACTTGTCTCTTGGCTTCAACAAGCACAGCAACTGTGACCGAAGCCAGAGTGGGTCCGACTTTCCTCCCCCCAGATGCCAACAGCAGGGCCTCCCAATGTGGGGATCAAAGCGAAAGCTCACTGTCGCTAAACGATGAATCTATTTCGAATGCCGAACTGTTGTGCCTTGTACGAAACCTCGGAAAGAAAGTCAGTGATTTGGAAGCCGAGAACCAGAAGTTGCACTTGGCAATGGCTGCATGTAGTTCATTAGCTGCTTCGAAAGGTCGACAGTCCGTGTCACCCGCTCGGCAGCGCACCATGCCAAGTCAAATCAGTTCTACATGTACGAATCCCTCTCCAGGTGGATCAGGGACATCTGTTGGAAGTGCTAGTGCTATGAACAAGTCAATGGCACACGAAAGCTACAGCTCCTGTCCCTGGGTCAGTCCACCTTATCCACAAATGTTCCCATATCATGCACTTGGCGGCAGCGTCGGTCCCCAATGGAGCCATTCTGTCAACGAAACCAGTGCGTCTTCGATTGATCGCACAAGGCGCGGCTGGTCTCATCAGACTTCTGACAATGAAAGCGGTGGCAGCAACAGCACAAAGCCAAGCTCGGCCGTCCGCCTCATCAAAGAAGAAGTTCGCGGGTGCAACCATCTTCCAGCATGGAACGAAACGCTGGAAACCAAGGAAGTCATCAAGGGAAATGGATTTGGCAGCAGCGCAGCTCGATCGAACGAACCAGTGTCCTCTGAAGGATCTTCCCTGGTATTGTTGCGCCCGGAAGGTACGCCTATTGTGTAGTTGGATTGCACGGTAGAGTCTCGTTTCTGCTCCGAATCGGCTACGGTACCGGTGCCATTCTGTCTGAACCGTTTCCTTTAAACCCTCTCTGTATACTAGAGATGCGCGAATACACTGGTAAGTCAAGGAAATTGAGTGTCACGCCCGTCATTACAGATTCATTCGTGATCATGATGCTCAAATATCTCAGACGAGGAACTGAAACAGGTACAACTTCGGCCTTTTCCTAGTCGGCTCTTCATCACCGAAGACAAGATGGAGGTATGTGGTCTGATTCTCGACCAATCATCCGCTTCGTCTGCTCATTTGTTTGCATATTATTATGGCGACATCGCAGTGGGACACTGGGGGACTCAGAACTCGGCATACTGATGATCACGCTCATACTTCAAGCTTCACTCAGTTGCGAGATGCCTTCAAGGTATGTGCTATAACTATACGCTGCTTTCTCGACGTGTTTTCTTCAGTGATTTTGCGCCACTCAAGTTTTTCGTGGCCGATTTGTTTGATCTTTTATAGGCTGATGCCATCACGAAGAATACGACTGCGGCCAAGTACGCGCTCACAGAATTGCTTGACATGTGCATGGGGATGGAAGAAAGTGAATACTACAGGTAGGTTCACCCGGTTATCTTCTGACGGTAGAGAAGGCTCCTGGATTCCTCACATGCCCAATAGCTTTGCTTGCACTCTCGCCTCTGCCTTTTCCGAGGAGGCAACGAACACAGAATTCGAAGAGAGCTTGCTCATGCACGAGGCCCGCATGAATGCCCTTGAAGAGGCCAGACAGACGATCAAAATGACACAGCCGCAGCTAACTCGACATGAACGCGAGGGATCCCTGTTGAGACATCAAAGAGAGCGGGCAAGAAACAGATTCGTGCAGCTGCTACGCATTGTTTTCGCCAAACTGAAGCTGAAGATGCTGCTGGTGGATAAATCAAAACTCAACACGTACCGATTGGTTCTTTGCATGACAAAATACAATTGCAACCGACTCCCTTTCTTCTTCGCCATCTTTCCTTTCTATTTCAAGACTTGTGCTTGTTCCTATTTGACCCTAAGCCTCTTATCATTGAATGAAGGAGAGTGGCTTGGGACCAATGATCAGTGGTCATCGACAGTTGCTCAGAATTACGGTTTGGCCTTGGGCGTACTTTTGTACGGGTTACTCGTTGCACAACAAGAGATCGAGAGCACGCAGGAAGTCTTCCAGTATCTGTACATGTACCGGCATCGATCTGGAACGTTTTTGCTTGGAGCTATGGATTTCCTTTCAAGCGTGGTACGTCCACAGTATACCAGCTGCGGGGAAAGTGGGTCGAGCCAATGTCGAGTCTCAGTCAAACCATATACTACAGCAGGCCTTGCATCTCATCTCATCTCATCTGCTGTCCGGTTTGTAGGTTCTACCCATATACGTCGCCATGTGCGGTTCGCTTGTGGTACGTCTACAGCACCGGTACCAGTACCAGCTGCGAGGAAAGATGGGTCGAGCCAATTTTGAGTCGCAAACCATATACTACTGCAGGCCTTGCATCCCATCTCATCTGCTGTCCGGTTTGTAGGTTCTAGCATCAGAAACGTTTCGCGACTGCGTTGTCAACTCGGTGGCGATTCTCTTCATTACGTTGATTGATGATCAACTACCGCGGTTGCTTGACTTACGCACTAGGGGAATTGTGCAGGGATATCTCATTGATCAGGCCATCGAAGAGTATGAAGGATCGGATCTCGACAAGCCGCAACTGATGCCCGAATTTGGAGACATGTTGCTCACGAACACCGAGGAGAGTGGTCGCTCCTTCCAACCCTATGAGTTCTTCGACGGGCAACGTGAGTTTCCGGGAGGAACCCGGTATACCGGTATTCAACAACCACACAGCAAAACTACTTGTAGTGATCAGGTTGCCAAAAGGAGTTCCGTGACAGCACATTGTTTACTTCGAAAAGTTGAATGGCAGTACGCGAAAGCACCAGATCACACTACTCAGCCACAGATTGGACACCTGCGTCTAACCAAGCTGATGGATGGCAGCACCATCAATTTCGTTGGAAGACAGAAGGAGTCGGACGAAGCAAAGAAAACATTTTTCTCACTCACAGGCGTCTACATCATCACCAATTTCAGTTTGTCGGACGACAGCATTCCTCGGTAAGACGCATGGACCCTATCGCAATGAAGCTGTGCTTTTGCTACACTGTACCACTTACGTGCAGTCGTTGCAAGTCTCCGAATATGTGGATCTCAGACGATTGGAGCATTTCTGGATGCCTTTGAATACTACAGCCTTTGGCCATTGGATACAGGCGCAAAAGCCCTCCTCAGCAGATCAGAGATTGCTCATACGGCAGCAGAGTGGCGCGCCAGTGAAGCTGTTCTGTGTGGCCTCCCCCACCCCCAAGCGCCGACACAATTTGCACCCAATAGGTCGAGTGAATCAATGGAAGAGGGAGAAACTTTTTATGCGGCATTGGATAAATCGACTGACGAACAGCCGAACCAGGCAGGTTGAACACAACTAATGCTAATACTCGTGGACTCATCGCATCGCAGCCAAGCAACTACATGGATTAGATCTTTGAATGATCGTCTTGTTCGCTCTTGGCGAAAAATGACAGTGTACCTGCACGGAATGCACGATGGCGCTTTGTATTGATGGCAACTTCGGGAACGTGTGCATCAGCCCGCACCGGTTGCCGAGCTGCTTTAGCAGTAAAATCGGCCACGCCTTCCCTTGCACAAGAGTAACACGCCGTCGATGCCTCGACATGCGGGAAAACCCCGACAACCATCGTTTCCTCCTCAAGTTCATCGGTTTCACTACGGTACTATAGCCTACCATAGCACCGATAGATAGCCAGGTGGCCGTTGCCGGATGTTGTTTTGTGGTCTGTGTCATTGGAGTCACTTTTTTTATTGGCTTCTTCGCCAAACTTAAAAATTCATTTTGTTATTGAGCTTCTAATCCTCTCTAATTCACTACTAGTAACACCAAATGGGTCATAGAAGGAGACGTTACTTAACGTCCAAAGCTTGATCTCGCAATGTTGTGCAGTCGTACGACGTACGACATGTATCATACTGTACAGTGTACAGTACGCCCGGCCATGCCCTCCGACCACCGCTTCACATTTTGCGACTTTCTGATGATGTTTTGTGACACTGTCAGGTCCAACGCCCCCCTCTCAGCCAGCCCAAGCTCCGCGCCAAGTGCGCAATACATGTAGAGGCCCGGAGGATCAACAAAGAGCTCGAAGGGAACAGATTTGGAACATGACGGAGAATTATTGAAATGTGTCCCCGCCAAGTTTGGGGCTTCCTTGATGTATGTGTTGTCTTTCCTCCGCCATTTTTTACATTCAATTCCGGGATTTGGTTCTGCATAAACTCAGGAAAAAATACCTTTTGGGAGCGAGACCAAGTCCAACAAAGAATGAAGAATCTCCCGCCTACAACATCCTTTTGTTTTGGCGGTTCTCTTTGGACCCCTTCAATGATTCTTCAATTCCTTTGTCTATGTATGTGCGACCTAAAGTACGACACAACAATGGAGGACAGTTAGACCGGATGAGGCAGGGGAGCACATGACTCGTCACTCGGAATGGACGCTCAAGGAAGAGCCGGGCAGCCGAAGCTGTACCAGTAGCGGGGCTACGCATCGGAGCAGATACAAGAATCACGGTGGAGATGATGTTGATTAGAAGTACCGCACGGTAATCTGAGTCTGCTCTTGAAGGGGAAGACTCACAATGGCCAGAAGTTTGGAGATGGGTTGCAAATGCAGACGAGTGGAAAGAGAGTGAAGCAGACCATCTTCTAAAGCAAAGACTGCGATATCATAACTGTTTGCTTTTTTATTCATGCTTATTTTTTATTAAAGAGATACTGTAGTCATTCAGAGCACTGGCATTGCCCTGGTAAAATCTTTCTCATCCAATCAATCATTCAATCAACTTTCGAAGTAATAAAATATCGTATTCACATTTAAAACAGATCCAGGATCGTCTCGGCAACACAACCGTAGCGAGAGCTCGAATACTTCTTACGAATGGAGTTGAGCTCGGGGTCGATGCCCCTCTTTTCAACTAGAATTGCCTTGGCAACAGGCAACACTTCCTCCTCTGAATAGCGTGCATATTTCAGCAGCGTGGGGCTCCATGTGTGTCTTCCTGCAGCATGTCGAGCGATTGCAACAGCTGCGGCCGCGAGCTGGCTGGGAAGATACTCCAGAAGACGGGAGCTGATCAAAGCTCCGTCCAGGATCATGCACGACAATTGGACAATCTTCTTGTCGGCATGCGCAGCCTTCAAGTAGCGCAAAAGAAACCGGTGTGCACTATGGATCACCACCTGATACTCTAAAGCATTTAGGATGGTAGTTTCCATATCCAAGACCTGTATGCAGAGCCGACATTGTACATGTAGAACGAGATGTTGTGAGATCGTGGCAGCAGACAACCATTTGCGCAGGCGTTACGAGCTAGAAGAACACTTACATCACGTCGCGTGTAGGCGTTGTCGCAAATGTAGACAAGATCAGTCAATCCGAGAGGATAGATCTCCTCGTACTTGGCAGCAATCATGAGAGAAGTAACCCCTAAAAGTTGCAGGTCACTGCGAGCAAGTTCTTCTCGCATCAAGAAGCGGTCCACCAAGTTGACTGCCAAGTAGAGCGTCTCTGGAGTCAGCCGGAACTTGGAGTGGACCTCGACGAGCCAGTCCACCAAGATGGCTCGCATTCGGTGTGTGATAGATGGTTGTTTGTGCAAGTAGGGCTTGGCACAGGTTTCGGCTTCCTTGTCATGGAAAGTGTTGTACATGTCCAGGACATAGTCCGTAGCACAGGTTGGATCGTCAAAGTCGCGAAAGTCAATGTCGTCGGCAACGCCAGCGTATTGGTAGTCGTAGCCAGGATGGTAGTTGGCAGGATGCCGGTAGATTGGAGCGTCTTTGATGAGACGGCAACTGCGTCGTCTGGAAGGGATGAGTGGAAGACGCTTTTCCGGTTTGGGAGGCTCGGGATCCGGCTGACTGCTTTTACTTTTTGGGTCTCGTGTGGGGACAACGATATGATTGTCGCCTTTTACCTGCTTCGCCTTGGCCCGTGTAATGGGGGCACTGGGTGGGTTGTCGTCTTCTTCCTTGTCCTTGGAAGCCCGTGCGACGCTTCTAGTCCGTCGCCTTTCGGCCTTCTCCGTCACTACGGCGCGAGGCTTTTTGGATTTTCTGGTTGTCTCTTCATCATTCTCATTGGTGAGATCCTGCTCGTTGTACGAAGTTGTCAAGCAAAAGAGAATGAAGTAGAAGTACAGTCAGAAATGTATTGAATCATTCATCATTCCAACGGCTCCCTGAGAAGAGGACTAAAAAGGCGCCTTTTCGTGCAACAAACCACCAGGAAATGACAGCAAACCTACCTTCAAGGCCCCTCGACGCTTTCGAGTGGTGACCATTGGGACTGGCTTTTTCTCTTCCTGCTTTGCCTGATGCTGTTGGCCTTTCTTGCCGGCATTGCGCAATGATCTACGACGGGTCGTTGGCACATTCATCCTGCTTCCTGGTTTACTGTCTACTCGCCGTCACTCGCTCTCTCCAAAAGTTCAACAACAACACGCCTATTTGTTGATTTGATTTGACTTGACTCTCTTCAATGCTGATCCATCACCCAGACGACAACATCGACAGCTAGAAAAGTAAGAGGATCCTTTAGAAGGATGTTTGTTGACAACAGCCAAAGCCGAGGGAGAAATGAGGTCTCCGCTTTTTGGGCGGTTTTGCCACCCGCCAAAAGCCAGGCGCGAAATTCGAAATGAATTGTCCTCCCCCTTTCAAAACGGTCCCCCTTGTTTTTTTGGGGGGGGGTCGCGTACATAGACTGTGGTGACTTTATTATTTTTGATGATTGTAGACCTAACCAGCAAAACACTTTCTCTCCCTATTCTCAGGCTTCGTTAGGTGATTTCACATTGTACCAATTCAGCCAGAAATGGCTACACCAGTGTTGATTGTAACTAACACATTTCTCTCCCTATAATCTCAGGCTTGGATAGGTGATTCACATTGTACCAATTCAGCCAGAAATGGCTACATTTGTGTACTTGCGGTCAATGCCTTTCTAATCCTAAAGCCTACGGTGAGGCAACTGAGCAGTGAGTTGCTACATGGCTAATGTCTTCCTGTTGCTAACGCCTCAGGTTCAGCTGTACTTGCTACACAGGCTTACCTCACTTTTGTTCGCTTTGAAAGGCACAATCAAAAAATGTCAAGAATCCAGCCTCCAGTAGCTACATAATTGTTGATTGTAGCCAATACCTTGCTCAGTTTGTCGCCCTGATCCTGCGGAACCTAGTCCCGAATTCCGCCTCTTCTTTGCCTACTACAGTAAGCCTGGCCCCCCATTGGCTTCCATAGATAACTTCCCTTCTCTAGATCCCCCGTTCTGTGTTCATGCCTTGCTCTCGCCATTGCTTCAGGTTATTTTTAAAAAGCTGCACTCCCCTCCCACCTCCCACTTGCCTGGCCTTCAAATGGCGTGACACTTTATGCCTCCGAATTTCTCAAAGGACAATTGTTACTGAAGCTGTCCTAGTCGGCCATTTAAGTAACCCAATGTTTAAGGTCCTCTGAATTTTATGGCCGTTGATACGCAAGCTACTTATTGACATAAGGCTTTGAATTCGTTGTCTTATATCTCATTGGTCTCTCAATGAAATTGGGCGCGAAGGATGCCCGGTCAAATAGAGCTAGGGTTTCCCACAACGGTCAGCAAAGACAGCTTCAAAGTGGTAGTTGCGGTATAAATAGAGTTAATGTTAACATTCACTCTCAAACATTTCCTATAAAATTATTATTACCGCATCTACCTGTTTACCAAAGCTGTCTTCCAGCCTCGGCTGACGGCTGACGGTTCCAATGACGGATGCAGCTCCTTCCACGTGGAAGAGTTTGACAGTCCTGTATCCGGATCCATCACAGCCCAAGCAAGCAGCCCACAACACGCAAAACACACGTTTCGCTGCCATCGAAACAGGAACAGGTTTGAGCACTGAGCATTACCATCAGAAACAAGCAAACAAGCAACAAAGCAAACCAAGACAAGACTACGAGGCGACGGAAACAATTGGAACCTCCAAGAAGAAAGAGATTAGAAATTAGAGGTCACCATACATTTTATTGAACATAGATCACAACAACAACAAGAGGACAAGAACTTGAGATTTGATTGAATTCACATAATCCACCATGTCCACCACAGAAACCACGGCCGATGAAGAACCATCCGCCACCGCTCCCTCTGTGCCGCTCACAGAGTTGGATCCCCACGAATCCGTTGGCGATCAGCAGCACTGCTTAGTCTGCTATTCCGAGCTCCATCATCCGGGTATTTCACCGTGCAACCACAACGAAATTTGTGGCGTCTGTCACCTGCGGTTACGTCACTTGCACGGCAACAGGAAATGTCCCATTTGCAAGGAAGAACATGACAAGATCATAGTGGACACTCCTGGTAAGACGTTTGACGAGTATCCCATGTGGGGAGACGAACTGGGTGGAAATTATATCTATCGTGAGAATGTGGGCATGTTTTTTGAGCATTCGCATTATCACGCAGAGATTCAACCCCTCTTTGGCTATCAGTGCACGCAACAAAACTGTCCTTACGATGGTACTGTACCCGATAATGAGGAAGAAGCAGCAGAGGAAGTGGACGCAGAAGGCAACAAACAGCAGCAGCAGCAAAAGAAAAAGCCAAAGAAACCAGCCACGCCGTTGCGGTCTCTTCAAGATCACTTGCGCGTCAAACACAGGCTGGCACTCTGCACGCTCTGCATCGATAACAAGAGAGACTTTGTGGCGCGCTTGCCACGAATGGCCCCACACCAATTGAAGAAACACTTGACCAAAGGAGATCCGGGGACTGGCTTTGGCGGGCATCCCATTTGCGAGTTTTGCAGGCCCAAACGTTTCTATGATTTGACCCATTTGCACCTTCACTTACAGAAGGATCATTACAAGTGCCATGTCTGCGAAAAACAAGGCATGCAGAATCAGTTTTTCCGGAATTATCAAAACTTGGAAAAACACTTTGGCAAGGCACACTTCATCTGTCAGGATGTCCAGTGCTTGCAAGCCAGATTTGTAGTGTTTGAGAACGAGATTGATCTTCACGCACACGAACGCCAAGTCCACGGAGGAACCACTACGGGATCCTCAAAAATTCAATTGGAGTTTAGGACACGAAGAACAGGATATGATGGGTCTGGTGTCGAACAGGCAAGACAAGAAGTGCCCACGGAAGAGGACTTCAACTTTGGACTACAAGGAGAAGCGTTTGTTCCGGCGGCCTTGCCCCGGAATGATGGCCCAACGTTGCATCCCCTGCATCTACAGCGCACTGCCGAATTCCGGGCCCATGCAGCTCAGATTCGTGAACAACAAGAACTGGAGAACCAAGGCGTATCATTTCCCACATTACAAGCAGCCACGGGCGGAGACGGGTCGGCGGCTGCGGGGCAGCAACCATTGAATATTGGTTGGACCTCTTCGAGCACTGTCCAGAGAGTCGCTCCCAGAAACAAAAATGCTGGAGCCGTCACGGAAACAGATTTTCCGGCCCTTCCTTCGTCGGCTGGACCGAAGAGTACCGGCGTCAGGGCTGGAGCCGTCGCCAGCAACCGACAATTCGCAGCAATGCGTGGTGCTGCGCATCAGCCCGTACCCGCTGCCGGTGGGTGGGGTACACGGGCGCAACCAGTGGCAGCTGCGCCGCACTCGTATCAGCACAACAGCGCTGCGTTCCCTCCGGTCGCAATGGCTCCCGCGCATCGAAACCGCGCGGAGAATCTAACTCAAGACAACTTTCCGGCTCTGGGTGGAGGCTCCAAAAAGCCAGCAAAGTACACTGCTGCAGGAAATCTCTCCAACAAGTACAACAAACAACCAGCTCCGTCATGGAACAGCGCTGTCGACTTCCCAGCTCCCGCCACATCGAACGCGGCGGCAAGGCCTGCAGCGCGTCCCGTAGTTTCAGCGCATGTACCCAAGAAGGCCCCTCCTTCGCTGAACAGCCAAACGGACTTTCCTCCGCCCCCCGGCGCAAGCAACAAGAACAATTCGGTCAAGAACCGAGTCATTGGAAACAAAAAGCAACCTACGCAAGCCGCCAGGGCCAACGTCTTGCAAATGCCGCAATCTACACTGGCACCAGCGAATCCCCAGGATACCTTGAATGACATGCAGGCATCCCTTGGGCCAGCCAAGTACAAAAAGCTCAAGAAGTTGACAAGAGATTTCGCCACTGGTGACCTTGAGCCGGACTCCTACGTGGATCAAGCCGCGGCTTTGTTTGAGCAGGGATATGGCGACCCCGACTTTTGGAAGACTTTCCCAGCATTGGTTTCGTCGTGTCCCAGCGACTCTTCTGTGAATGAGGCATTGCGCTACATGGAGTCGCTGCGGACCAGGTATTCGAAAGCACCGCCCGCCCCTGCGCCCAGACTGACATCCGCTCCGCGCCCAGCTGCCAGCTCGTGGAATGCCGCCCCACCGGATTTGACACCGGAGTCATTTCCTACGATGTCGCCTGCTTCTACGGGTAGGGCTCCTGCCGCTGCTTCTGGTTGGGGTGGAGGCCCTAGCCTTGCTGCTGTTTCCTCTGCCAGACCTGCTGGTACCCGGTATGTGGTTGCCAATGGGAAGAAGAAGGGCGCATGGGGTGCAGGAGCAGCTCCGACGAGCGTCACCCAAACAAACAAAAAGACAGTGGCCAGTGTAGCTACCGCAGCAGCCAACGAAGGACCGCAAGGCGGAACCGCCACCAAGTTCATGGCCAAGCAAAATAAGCAACAGAACCAACAGCAGCAACCGCAGGGCAAGAAGAAAAACAAGAAGAAAGAGAAAGATGAACTCCGCAATCTGGCCTTCGGGAAGTAAATGGTGAATGCAGGGGTATCGCCTGTTTTGTCGTAGCTTGGCTGGTACCGGTCAATTTTTTAACTTCTTTAGCTATCAAAACACTCAGCCAGCACCTGGCCTATGTTATTCTGCCTTCTGCTGGTGATAGACTCATTGCAAAGGACCGCAACGCAAGGGGCAAATGGAGGAGCCGACCCACAAGTTCAATGGATACGCCGTGCCAGAAGTAGACTAGGCCCCTGCCGAGATACTCGATTGGTCCCCCAATGGTACCTACCTACTATAGCGGCCTGAGCTTATGGGGGTTAGTGAACGCGAAACGGACGAAACCGCTTCAGCTACCGAACCGGTATCAATACACTCTTGGCTCTATTGGTTCTTATTACATAGCTTCACTGTCCTGATTCGTCCCAAAACAGTTAAGACATAATTGTATACTATTCGCACTATTCTTTAGTCGTTGGCGCGATGGGGACAACAGGCTGCTGGGGAGGGTGTTAGACTGGCTACAGAAGGCAGCTCAATTGCAGTCACTCACATGTGCGCACTGGCATACAGCGCGTCCCTACCAAAAGTCTCCAGAGGGGTGGCGGCTTACTAGATTCTGTGGTAGATTCTGTGCACTTATCATGTTGTGGCTGTGATGCTGCCCCAATGACGATGGTGCTTCTGCACGGCAGGATAATCGTCCGCAGAAAGTTGCGACGAGTCCGAAAACCAAGCAGTTTTCATCGACTTGAGTGACGATCCCATCGCTCTAGGCGGCCACTCGTTGCATCAGTTCTCCCCATGCAATAAATAATACTTGGCCCCTGAGGCAACACTGCAGCATGCTCAACAGGAACACCCTCACGGACTTCCATCTGTGTTGCCATCAGTACTACTATCTTTTGTTGTCGAAACAGTATTCCACTTGTACAAGCGAAGAGATCCGGGTGGGAGGACCTCATCCTGCTCCTGCTGATTGTCATTGCTAGCATCCTCAAAATCAGGAAATCTTCTGGATCCTGTGGCGACTGCCAGCATGTCATATGTGGCATTGTAGGATAGACCGTTGACAGCATCTGTAGGTGCACATTCAGGAATGACTAGTTCTTGCACCAGCTTATTGTCAGATGACGATTCCACACTGGTATTGTAGACTCGCACCACTGCCTTCTTCGTAAATGTATCTGGCACTCCTCCCACAAACAGTCGGGACGAGCTGTCGTCCAAGGCAAACTGGATTCGTTGATTGGTGGGTGCAGAAACTGGAAAACTTGTATAGCCTCGGATTGGCGTATTCGAGTAGCTGGGATTGCCCGACAACATGCGTACATCCCAGACCAGAATGGAATCGGAATTCCGACTGGCACTGTAGAGTTTTCCATCTTGATCAAATTGTAGCTGCGTGATCCCTCGTTGGGCTCGATGGGCATACCACTGTGTCTTGGCGGCCGAGAAAAAGTTGTCGTCGTCGTCCTCACCATTACGCCGCTTTTTGGACGCATGTTTCTTGCCATGTCCCACAATGCAAGATCCATTCCAGATGGTTCCGGAAGGTTGTTGTGATCCTTGACGAAAATCATAGATATAAATTGATCCAGGAGCATAGGTTCCCACTGCCAGCAAATTGGTATTGCTTTGTTGTTGTGGTTGTGAGTGGAATGCCAATGCCGACACGAGTCCCTTTTGTCCATCACTGGATCGTCTTGTTTGTCCCAATTTGAGTAGGCTACTGGCATGTTTCCCAGGTCGCGCACTGTCAAAGAGTTGAATCATTCGTTCCGTCCGAAATCCTGCCGCGACAATGGAATGACCATCCGTAGAGAACTGCACCACGGATGGCGATTCCATTTCGTCCATGGCATTCATGGGCACATAGGTGGCCCGTATTCCACCCGTGTAGGCATCAATCAACTGGACCGGCTGATCCCTTCCAGTGGCAATCAAGCAGCACGTGGAGGGATCGGAGGAGTTCATGGGAGGATACCAATCATAGGACCGAATTGTCTCACCCACTACTGTGGAAGCCAGGGCTGTCTGCCAGGCATGGATTTTTACGGATGTCTTGCCATTGTTGTCTGTTGTAGCGTCTGTTGTACAGTTACTATTGTGGACAGTGTTGTAGAGCCGCAACCTAGCGTCAGCAGCAGTTGCTGTGGCAATGCAGAGACCATCTGGACTAAAGGAACAACCTTGTGGAAAATTGCCATCGCCATGAACATCAATGGTTTGTGCCAAACATATTGGACCCCTCATCTCTTTGTCTGCCTCATGTTGTGGTCCTCATCATTCCCTCCGACAAAGCGGATGTCAGTTTCACGTTATTAATGTTCAATTTACACATTCAGGATAGTTTTAGTCGAAAGTTTTGCTTCTTTTAACACTTTGTGTCCAATTTCACCGTTTCCATGAAGATATCTTGTGTTCAAGGGATAAGTGACATGACAGCGTACCACCCAGCGTTCCTGCGTTTACATTGTGTGCGGGAACAGAAACTCAAAAGTATGACCAACTGAAATGGGAACGCAAAACACCAAAACGAGAGCACACAAATGCAACATCGACCAACCATCAGAATCCAAGCCACATAACCTCACCAACCAGTTCGATCTTTGCTCATCGGAACATCTCTATGCGAAGGCCACACTGTTGGCGGGTCTTTTATTTGCATGTCTACATTGTCTCTTCCATAGACCTTGGTTTTCTGATCTTGTCCTCCGCCTTATTGACGTCCCCCCAACATTCCACAACAAGACTTCGACGACACCCCACCTGTGTCACCACCAATAAGATGGCAGTCTCGGAACCAATGAATGGCCATTCTGCAGGGTCCACGACGACAATCACTCACTCGAGTCCGTTTTTGCCGCCGCGCAATGGCGAACAAACCAGACAAGCTCTGGTGATTCTGAACAGTCCCATCCGATCACCTCCCAGCCCATTGTTTCAAAAACTGTGGGACAGTTGTTGCTTTCACGTGTGTGCCGATGGTGGAGCCAATCGCCTCTATCGTGCCGATCCTGGCTTACTACCCGACTTGATTCGAGGTGATTTGGATAGTCTGGAGAGTCACGTCCAGTCGTATTATGCCGAAAAGGGAGTCTGTATGAACGCAATGCTTGTCAAGACAGCAATGATTTGGACAAGGCATTATCGGCAATACTCCAGAAAAAATCGATGGATACACAACAACAACAATACACTCGCATTATAATATACGGCGCCTTTGGAGGCAGATTTGACCAAGAAATGGCAAGCATTCAAGCCCTCTACAAGTGGGGTCCACAGTTTCAAAACAGACTGGTTTTGATAGATGACAATACCAGCGCCGTGCTGTTACCAGCCGGTGTCAAGAATGAAATTCGCATGCCTCGTTATGGAGATCAAACTGGAAAACAACAAAAGGATCTGGGTGAGGGCCCGACTTGTGGATTGATTCCTATAGGAACCAAATGTGAGAAAATAGTTACTACGGGATTCAAGTGGAACCTAGATGGTACAATACCCTTGGAATTTGGAGGTCTTGTCAGCACTTCCAACCATTTGTCCGAAGAAGTTGCTACTGTAGAAGCATCGCATCCATTGGTGTTCACTGCCGAAGTTGCATGTGGAATAGAGGACGTATTCTAGCCAGATTGTATGGAAAGATAGATGGGCAACAAGGCAACACGCTAGTTAATAATTTGTGTTGGTATAGAATGGTTTCATAACAGTCGATAGGACCGATTTTGATTAATAAACTATAAAGAGTTTGTTTGAAGCGTGACTTTCACGAGAATCAAACAAAGAACAGGAAGAGATGGGATGTTGAAGGAGTCGAGTCGTGACCTTTGGAGGGTAGACATGCCGTGCTGATAGCGCAGCAAAGTCGTGTCTTTGGAGGCCGCATCCACTCTTCAAACTCGACCAGGGCCCTTCCAGCCCGAGGATAGGCACCCTTCCCATGACTGCTCCAACAGCTAGCTAGATTTATTTCAGCCCACAAGTCGTCTCGGTTCCAGCGTATGAAGATGAGAGATTTCCTCAGGTAGCATGCAAACACGCGAGGCGGACAAGCGGCGGAGGAAGAAAGGGAAGCAAAAGATGTTTGCAAGATTGTTGAACAAAAGTCCACACTACTATTACTCAGTATGATTATTAAATATATTGTTTGTTGTTATGAGTTCTGCCTTGGTGGCAGTTGCACTGTACCATGATGTACTTATTATGAATGAATGAATCGATGAATGTTTCATTTGTGGATTGATTGCTTGTTTTGTTTGTTTTGTATTTATCGAATAGTGGGCATCCCAAAGGACAATTCTCCACTCATGGAAAGTGCCGACGAGGAAGGACGACACGAGGGCGTTCCAAAGACATTCCAAAAGCGCAATGTTTCATCTGCCGCCGCCGACACGACCGAAGCACCATCCGGACTCATGTCCATATTCAATACGCGTTCCGTGTGTCCGGTCAATTCCTTGACCTTGGTCATGGTGGGATACTTCCATAGAATCAACTGATTCTCACTGTACCCGTGAGAACTGCAGAGCTCGCGTTGATGTTTGGACCAGAGAACCGAACAGACCTGCGATCCGGTATCAATGGAATTGAGCATGGCACCACTGGACGAGTTCCAGAATTTGATCGTCCGATCGGCCGTTCCTCCTCCACTGGCCAACAATCCGCGATGAAACGGACACCAATCGAGCGCCTTGACGGCAGCCTTGTGTTGTGTCAAGATAAGACGCGGTGCAATGCTGTTTTCGCTGAGCGACGATCGTTGCCGACGTTGCGAAAAGGAAGATCGTCCCGACATGGCGGCATCCCACAAACACAAGTAATTCTCATTGCCGCCACTGGCAAGCACGGATCCTTCTTCATTCCATTTCAACCCGCAGACTTCCTGTTCGTGTCCTTCGTACGTCGACACGATATTGTGATGACAGCGAATATCATGTTGCAAAATGAGCGAGTCCCGGGCACCCGACGAAAGCCACTGATGACTCCACGCCAACGAACAGACGCGTCCCGAATGTCCCGCCAATGTTCGTACTTTGCGCAAGACTTCGGCATCGTAAATTTCCACCACATTGGCGTTGGTTCCCACAGCAATATACTTGGTCCGACCAGGAATGGTACACCACGAGACAGACGTAATGTAATCATCCGGTGCTTCCGTCGATACCAAGTGTTGAATGTCTCCCGACGTGGCATTCCAGAGGTATACACTTTGCGCCAGCGCGACAGCCAATATATTGTCTTTTCCCCAACTAATGAGTTGTAGATAATAGTCATTGACAATATCGGGTGCATCGAGTATGCGAGTGGGAGCCGCGGATACCTTGCGATGAATCTTTTTGGAAACGGCATAGTGATTGGCGACGGGATCCATCAAATCTTGTCGTTGTAGGACATTGCGGAGTGTGTCGTGTGCAAATGGATTTTCGCGTGTCATTAGAGAGGACGAAGAAGCAGCAAGCAGATTGTTATTCTCCGTCTTGGCATGAGAAGAGTGGTTGCTGACAATGCTATTGATGGAAGAGGAGGATGGCGCCCCAAAGGAAAGAATGCCTCTGGGTTGTGCATCTTCCGACAAGTGTTCGAGTGGAACATTGCAGAGTGAACTGAGCATGCGTCGTTTGAATTCCTTTTGGAGCGGAGTCTCTTGAGGATTCTTCTTGTTGCTGTTATTGTTGTTGTTGTTGCTGTTATTGCTGTTGTTGTTGTTGTTGTTGTTTGGCGATGCGTCGTTATGATTGGTTCCGTCTTCGGAAGGATTGCTGGATTCTTCCTCTCGTCGTCTCTTCTTTTCTCCCGTGAGCAGAGTTCTCCGACAGAGATCCATATTCATTTTGCGTCGTGATGGAATGAATCGATCGTTGGTACTACTGCCTGGAGTAGTAGTGGTAGTGTTGGAAGTTCCGCTCGAGTAGAGACTGCGACGTGGCGTGTAGAATGGAGTCTTTGTGGATGGAGTACCTGCTGTCGTCTTGCCAGGCATGGGAGACATGCGAGGAATCATATTATTGGCAACAGCACTCTTGTGTCGACTGGTGGCTCCTCTGGCTGTGGTGGATCTGCGCGATGATGACATGGACTTGGAAGGAGTCATGTAGGGAGTGCTGAAGCTTGTACTGCTACCACCACGATTCTTCGCCAACGAGGGACGAGGAGGAGTTCGCAGCAGACTGCTGCTGCTTGTGCCGTCAGATACCATGGTGGAACTAAGTAACAAACTAATGCGCTGCACTGCTGATGATAACAAGGATGATACTGTGTGATCCACGATGTACAGCAAAGAATAAATGAGGATGATGAGCTTGATCTCAGCGAGAAAGAAGAAGATGTGATGTGTGTTGGCGATGAACAGAACTTCAAAATGTCGTTCGTGCCGTTTCTCCTGCGTTGAGGTCTTTTCATGCCAATCAGTCACGTTTTATTAATGGAGGCGTGAATGAGGTACGTCAGTCCATCCATACCATGTTGACACTCGATCTCAAGATCTCAAGCATGATGATATCCAACGGCAACAACAGAAAAGAAGGATCGAGATCCAAGGAAACACACAATCTAGATAGATCCACAGTAGAGGTATATCTTTTGGAGCATCTACTACTGTAGCTATAGTGTTGTTGGCAATGCCTCTTCGACTCTTTGCATCTCTCATCGTTACTTGGTGTGCTCTTGCTCCTCCTGTACCGATACTACTAGTAGAAGCATTCCTACCAGTCCAAACACTGCAATCGATCCACACAAAACATACCAGCACACCACAAAGATCGTCACTACCGGTAGTAAGGATGGGTATCCAATCCACTCAAGATCCAACCACGTCCTCTACTTCTACTTCTTCGGAAACAACGATACCCAATTGGCGAGTGTTATCTTTACCCAAGGAAGAAGATCAAGAGGATTCATTAGCATTTCTACAAGAACGAGCGCCCTGGTCCAACCAACAATACCAAGAAGCACTGGATCTTTACGATAAATTCATCAGTTGCAGTGACAGCTACATTGCTCCAGGGATCAAGGATGCGCTCAATGTACTAGATCATGCCTATAGACTCTACGGACCACAATCGGTAGTCTGTTCCTTTAATGGAGGAAAGGATGCCGTTGTCATTCTACAACTACTCAGAGCGGCGCATGCTCATCATTACAGACAACAAGAAGAACAACAGCAAGAACACGACAAAACTACAATTATTCGACCCAGAGCACTCTATTTTGAACACGCCGATGAATTCCCACAAGTATTGGCCTATCTGCAAAACTCGGTCCAACAGTATGATCTAGATATGATTGCCTTTGATAAGGGCATCAAATTCAATCAAGGACTTGAAGTACTCGTGCAAAACAATCTGGTACCACAACAATCATCCTCCACAAAAATCACATTGCCCATGGGATTTGTCTTGGGCACACGCGTCGGAGATCCCAATGCCGGAGATCAGGGATACTTTTGTCCTTCGTCTCATTACATGCCACCCTTTATGCGCGTCAATCCCATTCTCGAATGGACCTACGGACAAGTATGGCACTTTTTACGAGTCTTTTCACTACCCTACTGTGTCCTATACGATCAAGGATACACCAGTTTGGGGACTACCAAGGATACCAACCCCTGTCCGGCATTGGCCGTGCCGGGTATGACTGTCACCCAAAATACAACGCTACCCAAATATTGGCCCGCGTACATGTTGCAAGACTGGTCCCAAGAACGGGCCGGGCGTATCAAAAAGGAAAAGAAAAAATCAAGCACTACAACAGCCACAACCAAAGACAATAATAAGGGTGACAACATTCCATCCACGTCGTCGGCTCCGTCCAACAAAGCGGAAAGTGTCATTTCCATTCCATCGGCATTGAGAGCCACCGATCCCAAACAATTGATTCGAAAGAAGCAAGACGAACTTGCCATTAGTCCCGTCGAAACACAGAATGATGGAGGCGAGAATGCGGATAATGATTTGGACGAATCTTGTTGGTCCTACGACAAATCTTCCAATCATTCCTTGGCATCCTCGGTGGAACAGCGCACGGCGGGATTGTTGGTGATTGGAGATGAAATCTTGAAGGGTGCCACGGCCGATACCAATACCCAAGCCGCCGCCAAAGCCTTTCGCGAAAACTCGGTCTTGTTGAAACGGGTCGTGGTCGTCTCGGATGATCAAGAAGCGATCATTAATGAAATCTTGCAAATGCAAAATGAAGTTGGTGAGTTCCGTTATTAGGGTAGCAAGCAGAAGGCCGGATTGTGTGATTGTTGGTTTGTTTCGCCATTGGCTCACACACATAAATACGTGTCTGTTTCTGTTTTGTTAGATATCCTGGTCACTTCGGGTGGCGTCGGTCCCACTCACGACGATGTGACGATCAAGAGTGTGGCGGCAGCCTTGAATCAAGACTTGGTCTTGCACGAGGAAATGGCCCTACTCTTGCAAGAAAAAATGAACAAAACAGACAATGATAGCAATAGCAACGACAATAATGCTGTTGTCGAATTGACCGAAGCCCAACGCAAAATGGCCACGTTGCCGTCTCGTTCCAAACTACGCTACTTGGCGGACAAACAAGATTGGCCCGTGTTGCAATGTCGCAACATTTTCATTCTTCCGGGCGTCCCCGAGTTTTTCACCCACAAGATTGAGTACGTGGCGGATTATGTGTCGTCCGATATAGAACTGGAACGGAGTACCGTGTACAAGGTGATTTTGTCGGTGGACGAGACATCCATTGTGACGGTATTGAACACGGCCGTGGAAGCGCATCCCGACGTGACGTTTGGCAGCTACCCGTTTGTCAGTCATCCCGAATTCAAGACGGTCTTGACACTGGAAGGACGATTGCGCAGTGCCGAGCCAGAAATTTTTTCGAGAAAGAGTTTCTCCAAGCCTCAGATGGATCATCATGTGCGAATGGCATTGGATTATTTGCTGACGCATTTGCCAGAAGGGAGTATACTGAGAGTAGAGAATGACGATGGGTTGCTATAGCACTATACATGAGTAGATAGATGGTTAGATAGTTGTGTGTGTGTGTATAGTTCCAGATCATTTTTAGTTTCTAGTTTGTACCGATCAGTTCTCCTTGGTATTTTGAGTTTGTTTGACTAGATCTAAACGATTCGTTCCATTTCGGTGGCATAACTCAAAGATTGCGAAATCAACTTCATGGAAGGAATGTCGCTGGCCTTACTTCCCATGGGCGGAGGTTGAAAGCAGAGCGTTTCGCCTTCTACAATCCAATCATCTCTACATTCTTGGACGTACTCCATCAATGCCTTTTGTGTATCAAACTTCATCATGGTCATGGCATCTTTGATTTTCATGGTTTTGTAGGAAACTTCGACGCAATCGGCAATGGAGTCTCGTACGGTCTGCAAGAGATTGTCGACAAAGAATTGGTAGGATGGATCGGGAACGTTCATTCCCGCATTGAGCACTTCATCGTAAATGCCCACCATGAGTTGTCGTTCTAGATTGATGGGAAACGAGACGAATGTATTGGATGCTTCTTGATCCGTCAAGAGTTCCAATTCGGAATGGAATTCCGACAAGCGATTGTCGACCAACAAGTACATCAAGTTGAGGCCCAGAATGTGACTTTTTTGAGCGGTTCCACCACCACCCGCATAGTACGGCTTGAGCTGGGCCATGGATCGAGCAAATGCATCCAAATCGCCTTCCGAGACGGTCAAGAGGACACCCAACTCGAGCGCTTCCGTCGCCACCTTGGTGTGCTCTGGTGAGGATGGAAAATCCAACATGGCAATCTTGAGTTGCGACAGCGTCGCTTTGCCCCCCTCGACATCCCCGGCATCGGCTAGACCCTTGAGTTTCGTGAGCAGACTCGTCGCGTTCTCTAGGCTGGACATGGTTGGAATTGACTGACTATCTATCTGACTAGCTGGTGTGAAGATGGTAAAGTGATCAAGTCACTTGATTATCGATAATGGGCGGCAACAACACAAACGGTCGGTGGTGCCATTGTTGGGGTTCATCGAACAGCCAGGATCTTGATCGAATCGTTTTCACCTTATCCCTACGTTACGATCAAAAGTGCGTCTCAGGCCTAGTACGTTTTTCCAAAACGCAATCCGAGACGATAGTGTCAATGAGAATGTTGAGGACGGAAGCCACCCATTTGACCGCTTATTTGGTACCAACTCTATAGTATCTATCTGCCTACCGGTATCAGTATCAACTGCAGCTCTCTATTCCACATAAGTTCCATCATGATACTTCGCCTCCAGTGCTTGGTGCCCTTGGCAGTTTTATTATCGTCGACAGACTCATTTCTGTTGACGTCACCACCATCGTCCAAACAGTATTCGTCGGCAAGATGGATGGTTGCAATGGAACCCCAACCAGCATCATCACTTCCAGATACATCTACCCCATTGCCTCCCCACACATTTGCCGGAATGGTCGAACAGAGCTTGTTGGAAAAATTCAATGAGAAGGATATCACAAGAGTTTTGACATCCTGGCGATTATTGGAAAAGGATTATGAGCATCGAGAATATGCGGGCCCATCGGATCTGTCACCCGAATCAAGTCAATGTCATCAACACTGTCATTCCTATGTTCCGGGACTGTCCATTCGTCCGTTTTGGGATGTTGCTACGCATGGCGATGGTGATTGGACCAGGACATTGCCCAAGCGATACAAGGAAATTCGAGAAGAATTCACCCGTGTGGCATTGACAGATCCCGATCAGTTGGAACGCCAAGGCAACAATATCTGGGCGGGAGCCTTGACCGAAGATGCGTCTAGTTATGGAGTTGATTGGAAAACACTCGTTCTCTGTGATCGAGGGGTATGGGATCCAGTGAGTCTAAAACAGTTTCTTGCATTATATATTATGGAAGGCTGCTCTCCAGTCTAACAGATCCTTCAACCCTTCAATCCATGGATTCTTTGTTTCTTCTGCAGGTCAACGTCAATCTCTTTCCCAAGACATCTAAAGCCGTTCGAGATTGTGGAGTTCCAGCCACAGAAGTGTTCTTTGCCAGCATGAAACCAAACAGTTCGATCAAACCACACACTGATTTTACCAACTTTGTGTTGACCAGTCACTTGCCACTTGTCATTCCAGAGTCGTAAGTGCTGTTGTAAATTGCTTACTTGATGGATGGAGTGGATCTTGCTTGAAAGAATGAATTGTGTCTTACCAAATCCAACAAATGATACTTACTATGCATTCCATCAGTGGAAACAACAAATGCCGACTCACCATTGGAGATGAAACGCGACAATGGATCGATGGACAGCTCATGCTGTTCGACACCAGTATCATGCATGATGCCATCAATGAAAGTGATCAAATGAGATATATTTTGATGATGAGGGTCTGGCATCCAGATTTGACACCCACCGAACGACAAGCATTGCAACACACATACGATTGCTTAAATGTACCCGAATTGGTCAGTAGTGACCCTGGAGAACGATCCCTGGCCGAACGACAAGTCCAAGCCATGCATGAATTCCCCGCAATTCAACGAGCCGCTGCAGCTCCAGTTGGCTTTGGAGGAGGAGGTGGCAAGCAGAAGAAGAAAAGCAACAAAAAGAACAAAAAGGCCAAGGGTGCCACCAAGGGATTTGGAAGCTGAGGAGCGAGTTGGTTGCTGGTTGATCCAGTATTGAAGTTGCGGATGAACAAAAACACAATCTACAATGACATGTTTGGACTATCTAGTAGTGAGTAGTCATGAAAAAAGCTAAGAATCGGACACGGCACCATACGGAGGGGGCGGTGTTGGTTGTCCCAGCCCCATGTATTCGTCGTCTTGTCCTTTGGGTGATTTGGGCATCATGTGTTCGACGTAGCGTGTTGCAATGGCACTGAGGACAAAGATAATGGAAAATATCAGCACCGTAGCGAGGACACCATCTTCCCGGCCCGCAATCGTAGACGCCAATCGCATCCCGGCAGGAACGCTACACGCCATGACAAATAGACTCACCATCCAACCAATATGAGTGCAGATTGCTGCATATTTCTTTTCCTCCAGTTCCTTCATGTCAGTCAACGATGTTGTTGCTTCCAGCTGTTGCCGAATTCGTTTATACTCACGAATGGCACGAAATCCCTTGACTTCGGACAGGATTTGAAGAAGACCGCCAATCGTAATGGGAATGGCAAATCCCAAGGTGGTTCCTCCTACCGTGGTTGGATCACTTGTCAATCGGGACCATGCCAAGTAGGCTCCCAACACAAAACTAACCACTCCCGAGACGAGGCCCAATCGGCCGATCCATGTGTGGGAGAACTTGGCCGTGGAACTCAAAGAAGGTGTGACGAGACAGTTGTGCACACATGCCATGTAGATTGTGCCTGCGCCTACAATATGAACCGCAAGCAAAGCGTCACGGATTTGTATCACTTGGCGCTGTTTCCAAAAGATGGGTGTATGCCAAAAGAGGAACCAGACTGCCAAACAGGATGTGGCGATCCAGAACAGATTGACATTCTTTCCGCAAACAAAGCTGAACATGGTAGAGATAATTTGGCCAGGAGTGCTGCTTCCACCACGAGAAATACCGTCCACAATAAGGGGCGCGGGAGGATCGTCTTGTGGAGAAAGGAACGCTTGAACGAGAGGGGAATTGCTCTCAGATGACGACAAGCGAGACGGAAAGACCAAGGAACTTTGAACAATAAAGCCAGTTGTGGGCTGCACCATTGATCGATCCTTCCTTAAACGAAGTTGCGGTTATGGTCCAACCCCATCAGAATCCCGATAGGCACTGGCTGTTGGCTTCATTATCGGCTGTCGGGACTTGGGACCATCATCTGGTGCTCTTCATGGTGGAAGTTCCCAGAAGATCCTGGATTTCATGGGCACGAATGAAAGATACATCAACGGCCCTAACCTTAAAATCGATCAGTCTCCCTTCGCTTCGAAGCTTCAAAATGGCCATGGTGGTAGATCTACCAGGTACCGGTAGGTGTTGAGGCAAATGTTGGAGAAGACGTGGGAGCCCAAGGAAGCCCTGAACATGCCACTCTTGAAGCTAAAGAAATTTAAAATGTACCGGTACTGATGAGTGGTGGGAAGGGAAAGATCCATCTGAAAAGAAGACAGGTATGGACCGGTACAAGGTCGTACTGTACTTGACGGACAAGCCTAAGACAATTTTGCCATCAGGTTGTATGTTCCTTTTGTTAGATATGGGTGTTGATGTCGATCGTCCCATTTTGTACCGGTGCGAAAGTCAAACAAGAAATACCCGAGCCACAGATCCGGCGGATGATGTACCGGTACCACAGATAATGTACCGGTAGGTTACCAGTACCGGTATACAGTCGCAGATACCGGTACGTATACTAATAGTAACGCTATTCCGACATGCATATGAAAGAGACATGTGTTACGTGTTACTGTGTTACTTATTACTGTAATAGTAGTTTAAAAGTAAGCTGATGTCGTACTTCCCGATAGATCTTGGAATCAAATAATGGTCTGTACTCCAGAGTGAAAGGGCCCGAAATCACGATTTACATGTAATTCTGCTTTATATTTGGGTTCGATTTTATATTTTGGTTTGATTTTATATTTTGGTTTCGGTTTGATATTTAGGTTTCGGTTTGATTTTACTAGTTATTTACCATAGTAATTTGGTTTCGGTTTAATATTTAGGTTTCGGTTTTATATTTCGGTTTCGATTTTATATTTTGGATTGGAATTGATCAATTTAATTGGATTCTTAAAATCCTGATTTCGGGCCCTTTCAGTAGAGACTTTGATTCAATGACTACTAAACTTCTTTTCAGGTCGCGGGCCCGCCTGAGTTAAGTTGCTACACGTAAGATCTACGGGCGCGATCTTTCCTTTTCCATGTGTGTCACTAACGCTTTCGAAGTTCCAACCAAGATAGCTCTTCGCAAACCCGCAAAATCGTGTTATTTAGAAAACTGCCTGCTCTGCGTCTCACAAAGTCATTGGAACTCTTTGGTTTGGTGATGTTATTGGAGCATCACGCACCATCGCACCAATGTTCCAGTTGTTGCGAGGCCTTCCGGTTTCATGGGATCGGGGCACCTTTCGCAAATGGCGAAAGCGCAGCTACCGGTACCGCCTTCAACACGCGGTCCTGGTTGCCCTCATTTATTTCTTCTTCCTGTTTGTATGGTGCCGCCTACTACCGGCACTAACCAAGCGGACAAACTTCCTGGAGCCATATACCAAAGATATTATCAGCTCAGACCAAAGCTTGGACGATCCATAGATAGCGCTAGCTAGTCTCACAATCTAAACGTTAATATTCGTCGAGCGCAAGAATCATTCTTCCTCCACAAAATATTGCGAACAATGACAATGATACCTTCGCTACCCCTTCTCCTCGCCTGTTTGTTGCTCTGCCAAGCTACCCTGGGCGACGACCGAGATGACATTGGCAGGTTCATTCCCGATCAGCCATGTGTCTGCAAAACGGACGTTGTCGACTGCACCAACCCAGAGGATTGTACCTGCCTTGTGCAAAACGAGATCCTCTCGTCTTGCCGCTGTGGTTTGACTGCCGCCGCAACGTTTCGATCCTATCTGTGTCCAACCACCGAATGTTGTGCAGGCCATGGCACTCGACGACGAGACCGTCAACTAATGGGCGCCGATCTTGCCATGGACCCGGACGATCCAGTTCACCAAGAACTCTACAAGACATACCTGGAGAGATGTGGCCAGTACGAGTATCAGACGTATCTCTATGTCACCCATCATATGTATGCCGTCGCTTCCCCTCCCGATGAGGCCTTTACAGGAGATGAGGCATGTCCGTTTCTCGTCACACATGCCCATTTCGATTCCAGAGACAGTCCAGCCACCAAAATGCTTCTCTTCTGGGAGACCAAGGAAGAGGGAGAAGCTCGCTTTGCGAATGGTCTTTGGAAGGACAAATCCATACAAGTGGGTTCTTTCCCGCTATCAGAACTAGCACGAGCTTATGAAGCTGTGGACTTGGAATCGGATGGTCCCTTTGATGTGGTAACCAACAACTGTGGCAATTACATTATCCGTCTGGCTCTTCAACTAGGAATCAAGATTGATCCTCGCATCATGTCGTTTGTAACGCAGCGCTTGATGGAAGAATCCAGTGCCAGGTTCATGAAGGATCTCAAAGGACGAATGGGTAGCATTTGGACCGTTATCTATGAATGGATCCAGTACTATCTCGGCTTTCTCTGGGGTGCACCATCCAGCGACTCAAAGGGCGCCCTCTTGGAACAGTTGGTCAGTCAACAAGCCGCTTCCTTCCAGCAAGAGTGAGAGCCAAAAGAGCGGAGGAATGTTGGATGAGCTCCCGTAGACTAGTGCTTGCTGCATAATGTATCTACCGCCTGGGTTGTTGGCCAGCAACCTGCATGGCTGCATGGGACTTCGTACATATTTCCATACACACAATGTTTTATCATAAAGCCTGGTTCCAAACAGATGAATGATCCATTGGCATACCTGGCTACCGGTACCCCAAGCTGTTGCTTCTGGAATACGTCGGTCGTGACCGAGCTGAGAGTTCCTTTCTTTAATTACAGGTGTATCAATAATCTACCTTACTATCATATCTATTCCTCTACTGTATCTCTTCTGTCTTTTGTGTTCGTCGAAACACCACGGTCTTTCCAGTTTTGCTAATTGCCGAATCAAACCTGGAGAACTGGAAAGGAGCCCAGTCATCCTTGTCGATCCTCTTGTATCCATCCACTTGATACTGGGGCAAGGTACCCTCTGTGGCCATGTGTCCTTCTTCTTCTTCTTTGTCGTGGGAGCCACTATTGTTGTCGTTGTTGTTATCATCGTCTGTTTGATCCTCCACCAATGCTGCCATCAACTCTTGCTCCATGACTTCATCCGATTGATATGCCGGATTACCCCAAGTATCCCAATTGTCTCCACAGGTTCCATCGTCACATTCTCCAATCAAAATATACTCGTCGACATGATATTGTCGGAACAAGTGAGACCAATCCACTCCCATGGGCATCCAACTGCATAACACAATAGTGTGTTGTTGTTGCTTGCCAGGAGCGACGTATTGTTCCAGTGCTTGTTCCACACTCAACGGTTCCACCGCCGCACGGGGATGAATTCTCCAACTGCCATTGTCCACCGAGACCACGGTGGGTGCCTTTGTCTTGTTGTTGTTCTTCTTGTTGCGTCTACTGCTAGTCAGCAATCTCTTTCCCATGGCAATTTGCAAATGTCGTCCCAACAATCCATCTCCCGCTCCAATGTCGAGAATGACTGTTTCGTGTTGTGGTTGACGATTGCACCTTTGTAAGAGATAGTGCGCGAGTCGATCGACATATTCCTGGGTCCAGAGTTGATACATGTCCCGTTCTTCGCACAAGGCATTCAAGGGTCCACACGCGTGGACATGTCCTCCCAGGACTTGGAGCACATCTTGAAAGGGGACAGTCTGTAGAGGTGTATCGAGTGGTAGATCGGCTAACAGGAGACCTCCACCTCGGAGAGACACCATTCTGCCATTCTTGGCAATGGTTTGGCAGAGTTGTTGCAATTGCTGGTAGACGGCGGGATTGTTTTTGTGGGGACTCCAGCGTCTGGTTTCCAATACCCGATGTACAAAATCTGTAGTGGGCAAGGACGCCGTGATTGCTTTATTTTTGGAAGCGGATTGTTGTGGATCATACTCGGTCGAAGTGGTGGTGGTGAGTAATAGGGAAGTGAGAATATTCCCCTGTTGGCTGCTTCTACTACTCGTGACGGTGAGTTGGGGCGAATGTCGAAATTTGGGAAAATCGCGGACGGCTTGTTGTACGTGGAGTCCATATTGTGCGAGCAACCATTCGGCGCGGATCCATTTGAGCAATCGGGTGTGGAATCTCCATTGCAAGACATTGGACCATCGTTCGTCGGGCAACAATGCCGGTCGCAAGTAGGATTCCAGGATGGAGAGTCGTATCTCTGATGGTGTCATGGTTTTGCGTCGTTCTTCCAAATCGTCTTTTCCAAATATTCGATCAAAGGTATCTTCGACCCAGACTTCGATCGGAGAGTGTTTGATTTTTTGAATGTGATCCATGAATGCTTGGGCGTCGTGGTGGGCTTCAATGGAAATGAGTTTTTGGGCCCACGTGATACCGGTCAGACTGTCCAAGGTGGGATTGTCGCCTGGACTGCCCAATGCCATTCTCAGTCTCAATCCATTGCGAAGTAGAAACGGCCCCAGAGCTTTGTTCAGTTTGCGGGTCAGGGGGAGAAGCACCATGCTGCTCTGCTTTAGAATCAGACTTTTCAAAAACAACGGAATGAGAAAAATAGATTTGTGGGGCTGTGATCAAAGATCCAACAAGATCTGATGACGTCGAATAAGTGAGAGATTGGTCACGGTCTTTGGCCATTTTGGCGCCAACTCCCAAAACAGCACCAATGACAGCCTTTGCCGAAGTGACATCCAAAATAGTCATGGGTGATCGTGCTCTGATACTGGTACCGATAGTGGTCATATACCCCTTCAGTTTTAAACAAGAGCAGACAATCAGATAATAGAGAGATAGCATTGCAATCAAACTAATCTGTTTTATAAAGATGGCTCGATTCAATCCCCCCCGGTCGGCAACAGGGAATACCGTCAAGATGGTGACTGCAGGTATTGTAGTGCTATTGTCCGTTCTGGGTCTCATGTCGCAAGTCAGAACGTTGCCAGGAGATGCCACTGGACTGCTCGTGGCCACTGATGCTGCAGCAGCAGTGCCTACCTTGGATGCCTTGCCGCGGACCCTATTTGCGGAAATTGAAGAACAATCCAAAAATGTAATGCCGCTCTTCTTTGGCTCTTCCACTACTACGGATAGTAGTACCAATGCTACCTCATCAACAACATCAAAGTCAGCCATCATATCATCCACCACTACCGTATCATCCACACCAACCACACCTGCCGTCAGTCATGGCAAATATCCCACTTTTGATTGTGCCCAACTCTTGCACGAGCTAAAAACAAACGAGGCTACTCAAAAATTGGATCCCAATTTGGGCATAATATATTCCCGACGCGTCCGTGACGTTCCATCATTTTTTGTTGCGATGCACAATGAGACATTTGACAATACACGATGGCAAATCATGAGGTATGGAACCTACTACGAAAAGAAACTCACTGCCGCCTTTCAAGAAGTCTTACGAAATGCACCCAAGGGAGCACGCGTACTCGATGTGGGAGGCAATATTGGATTCTTCTCACTCGTCTCCGCATCCATGGGACCCTTTGTCATTGATACCTTTGAACCTAATATTAAGGTAGGCTGGCTGGGCTGGGCTCGTTGTTGTTATTGTCATTATATATAGTATGGCATGGGCTACCCTGAATGCTCACTTTTTCATTGTCATATTCTCTGTGATTGATTCGATTCTTGCTTTTCAAAATTTGTCTCTCCCATACTATTTGTTAAAAGAACCGCATGCGCTACTGCGAATCCTTGCATCTCAATCGATGGATTCACACCGAATTTGATGATCCCGAACTTTTGGCCCTGGCTGCCAAGAAAAATCAACCACGTACCAATCTCTACGGGTACGGAGTAGGACAAGAAGAAGGACACTTCTTGTTCGAAGAACACACCAATCCCGGTATGGGAGCCGTCGTCAACTTCAAAACGGGTCCCGGGGTTCCCAATGCCATTCAAATTGTCACATTGGACAATTTTGCAAAAGATCGAGGATGGTTTGACAACAATCCACAACACATTGCCATTCTCAAAGTCGATGTCGAAGGATTCGAATACAGTGTCATTAATGGCGCCAAACAATTGCTCACGTCGGGAATGGTGCACAACATCTTTATGGAAATCAGTGCCCGTACCATACCGGAAGCTGATTCCAATATTCCACTCTTGACATTCCTATCGGAGCATTACAGACTCCATGCCATTGGCGGATGGATCGGACCCAACAAGCTCGTAAACTGGCCCAAGGATGATGATCTCAATCGGAAAATTTTAGTGGCGGCCAAGGAAGAGGGCGCCAAGCAACTCAACCTGTGGTGGAGGTTGCGATTCAAAAAGGAATACGCGACTCAAGACAGCGCAGTCTAGGTTGGTCCATCCATCTTGGGGATGGTCTTTTGACAATACACAATGCTTCACTGCAGCGTAGCTTGTTTGCTGGCTCGTTGGTTGATAGAAGCCGACACTGCCAACACAATGGGGCCATTGGGAATAATGGCCTTGCCACCTGAGAGAAAAGAAGGTATGGCCAAGGAAGGTCGACCAGGCAGCAAGAATGGTGTGGGTAGCCGCAGGTCACATGCGGCTACAAAACTGGCAGCCCTCAATTCAAAACTACTAGGTAGTCTACAATACAAGCACCCTTGCTTGCAAGCCACAATGCGTTTTCATTGCTTCATCTTATTTTCATGCTAGCTGAATAGTTCACGATCTCTTCCCAGTCCTCGTCATCGCCCTTCAAGTATCAGGTGCTGGATCGCGGCTGTCTCGCGGCCTTCGCATACCCAATGGGTTCAAAGTCGTCGTCTCCCTTCCGCTGCCTGACGCAGGTGTCAACACTCCTTGCGAGGCAGCTCGCTGGTGTGTTTGATATCCTTTTGCTTGCAATTGGGATCGTCGGTATTGTGTCTGTGTAACAATGACAACGCGCAGCAAGGCAGCTGCAACATGGCTTTTGAGGCCTTGATGCGGGCCTCCTGGCTGAGCTCGTGTCTTTCGCCCAGCTAGCCAGTCAAAACTAACTGAAATCCCCACCTCTCTCTCATCTACGTGATGAGAATTCGATTGTTTTCAAAGCCTTCTGTCCAGGCCCCCTTGAGCAGGTGTTTTGCAGACCGAACAGGAACCGGGTTGGTGGGTGACGTGTTGGTATTGGTCGACGACAATGACGAGTAACACGAGCTCGAGCCACTAGTCGACGCTGTGGATTGTGACCAATCATATTTTTCCGTGGTATCATCGTCAGGCCCGTACAGCAGAGGAGCTCTGTCCCAATCGTCGTCACTAGGTGACAAAATACCACCTTCCCATTTGGGATTGAGACCAGGAATTGCTCTGCCTTTCCCGACCCCTGGAGCCATGATCTCTGGCAGTATGCTCAAATCCATGTGCTGCCTGAGGAGCTGCTCGGTTTCTGCCTCGGATGCCACCTCCATCAACATTCGCAAGTGATGCATCACCAGCGGTTTGAAGAGAGCCCAAACAAATCGAAAAATTCCTGGTGTATTGACAAGGAGAACCTTTTTGGGCATGTGTGGATAATGCAACTGCATCGGTGTCATCATCTTTTGTGCGATAAGCATCAAGGCAGGATGATAATGTCTCCGGTTGAGGCCTTTGAGATCAATGACAGCCGTCACCAGCTTGGGTCTCCTCCCTTGTTTCTGGATGTATTCCCGTTGCCATGGTCCCCACAAAAATAATTCTTGCCCCCAAAAGACCCCCTGAAGGAGTTCATCGCGACCAAATCGTTGCAGCAGACTCAATGGGTCACCGGCTCCACTGCGAATTACTACCACCGCGTCTCCTTCCTTGTCCACGCCTTGAATCAGTGCGAATGGGAATTGAAGAAACACTTTGAGAGGTGCATAGGTTTGCAGCACTGTATCCAGCTCCATGCGGTCGCGCCATTCCACGCACTGACGGACCCTCTTTTCCATGGTGTGGATGTTGCCATGGCAGGAGTGCTCCAAGACAAACCGAACCAGCTCAAAGGGGCCATTCAAATTCGAATGGGACAAGTCGGCTACCCGTCTCCTGAGTTCCATGAGTTTGGAGGTTTCTTCATCTGGCAACTCCCAGAGCTCTTTGCAGGCTTGAACTTGCTCTGGCTGCCATCGCACGTCGTAGGGCAGCAGGGTCGGATACCTTGGTTGCAATTGGGAGGGCATCTTGGTTATTTGCGTTGTGAGTTATGAGTTGTTGATGCATCACGGCAACCGATCACAACCAACTTACGATTAGCGCGAAGATGGGGAAAATTGTGCCGGTATCTAACGTGTCCACGTCTCAAACGCAGGCCTTCCCTTTATTCTCTTTGAGAACCGAAATCTCAAAAGATTTATGAGAAAGATTTAAACACCGATCTTGTCACTTGTCATGTCCAGGGTTCGCTAACCAGTTCTTTCGGTTACCGGTTATTTGACATTTGGTTACCGGTTGTTCGATTTGGTTACGTAACCGGTAACCGGCAACCGGGACCTCGCGATAACCGGTTACTCAACCGGTAACCGGTAACCGGGTCGTTTTCGACTGGTTACTTTTGGACCGGTTACCGGTTACTTTACGACCGGTTACCGGTTATCGAACTGGTTACTTTGCGACCGGTTACCGGTTATCGAACTGGTTACCGGTTATCGAACTGGTTACCCATTCGGTTACTCGAATTTCGAAACTTGCCGTTTCCTCTCATAAATTCGCCAACCAATAACCAATAGGGGCAACCTATGTCCGTTTGGTTACTCGTTTGGTTACTCATTTGGTTACTGGTTATTCGTTTGGTTGCCGTCCAACATACCGTCCAAGCCACCGTCCAAGCTAGCTAGCTAGCCATCGTCCAAGCTAGCTTGCCACCTGGTTACTCGTTTGGTTGCCGTCCAACATACCGTCCAAGCTGTTCAAGCTAGCTAGCTAGCCACCGTCCAAGCTACCGTCCAAGCTAGCTTCGTAATGTCCGAGTCAAGGGTATTGGACGATTTTGGAGCCGCCCTGAGCATAGCCGATGGCGAGAACAGCACAGGTCACTTCTCCGAAGAAAACCGAGCCGATGCCGAGTTTGTCGAAGGCCAACTGGTTCAACGCAACCTGAACGACGACCTGGAAGAAGAAAAAGAAGAGGAGCCTTCCGACGAAGAAGACATATACGGCCCCCCAGTCGACGAAGTAGTTGAAGTCAATGTGGTTGAGGATCAGCCCGAGAACGAGGACGAGGACGAGCAGGACGAGCAGGACCAAGACTTCCAAGAGGACGAGGACGATGATGACGATCCACATAAGGATCCTATTGAACAAGATAGGGAGCAGTTGACTTCTAGCTATGCGCAAGCCAAGTCTTTGTTCACTTTCCCCTTGCGCAATGACTTCAAGACTACCTCAGGTGAAGGCCGTTCGCCTTTCTGGCAAATAGCTAGAGTTGTGTTGATTCGGAACCCCAATAGTTGGGATGAGCTGGACGAATTGGATTTGGTGGCCAAAGAGAAGATGTTGAAGAGTATTGAGACAAACGTCCTTACATGGCCTGCATGGCATGCATTGATGACGAAGGGAAGCCTCTCCGCAAGTGTCTGTTCATGCCGTCCTACTTGAAGAAGGAGAAGACTTTGAAAATGGTTTATGATGGAACGGGGAACCTATCGAGTCACGTCAAAAAGGTTCACAAGGAAGTTCATGCCGCCATCAAACATCATAAAAAGCACTACAAATGGGGAGACATGGCACCCCAGCCTGCCGGTCCTACACGAGGAGTTCCTGCCGCTGCCGGAAGACCAACCCGAGCAGCTATGGCCGCCGCAGCTTCCGCCGTTGCTTCCCATGAATCCGTATCTACTCTTCTGGTACCGGTAGTACTCCGGCAAGCCGAAAGCCAAGATTGAAGAGCCCACCCGGGGAAATCAATGTTCTCAACTTCCTCAGCAGAGTTGGTTGACCGTTTGGCAGATGGTTTTCCCGAGTATGGAGCCGACGTGAAAAAGGAATTCAACAAGATCCGTCTACTGGCAATGATGCTGAACCCGTTCACCAGAGGAACGGTCCTTGACGAGGTAGAGACCTTGAGTGAGCACGTCGAGGAATATGCCAAGGACAAATACAAGCACGTGGCCACCGGTGTTCGGGATCTTGCCATGAAGGAGTTGAGGCAGGCGATTGAAACCTTGTGTGACCAAATGATGAGTGACGAAGAGCCTGTCCTGCGAGGCGGCGCCAGGCGGAAGAGGAGCCAGAAGTTCCGATTCACAAGCTATCCAAGCTCGAACAACGGCGAAGGAAGAAGCAGAGAACTGCTGAACGGTGAACCGTCAACCAGAGCAACCACAGGAAGGAGTGGACAAGGTGACTCAGGTTATAAAATCCTGGATGGACAGCAAGTTCGACATTGTGTCTGTACTGACAAAGCAGAAACAGAAACCTCTTACCAAAGATCAAGTCCGCAGCATCGGCACTAAGGACTTGGATTGGATCAAGAACATTGACTTTATTGCCAAGAACTTCGATGTTATGGAATGGTGGGAAACTGTTGGAAAGAGAGACCACCCCGTTCTGTATCCTCTTGCTTGCATCGTCTTGTCATTGCCCGACAGTAATGGGGATCAAGAGAGAACCTTCAGTGGAGCTACATGGATGAACGATAGGCTAAAGGCAAACCAGGGCGACTTCACATTTCAAATGAAGGTTCTCACGTACAAGAATCGTCACTTCCTGCGCAACACAGGCACCTCGTGGCGGTTGCAAGGTTGCTGGAAGCCAAGAACAGGACGAAGAGACTCTTCAGAGAACAGGTGAAATCCCTCAACAAGCCACGCAAAGAAGGAGAACCAGATCTGACAGAAGAGGATATCACAATGGAGAATGCTGGAGGAGCTGGAGTACTACTCCAAAGAGGAAGAGGAGCAGATTCGTGCTGCCAATGCTGCAAAATCCTAAGGTATGTCTAGGAAACAGGATGGATTGACATGGGGCGAAGCAAACAACACAAAAGTCTTGCGCTGCATGTTCAGACCTCAAGGTAACCACTTGCAATTGGTTACTAACCAGTGGTTACTGGTTACTTACCTATAAAATAACCAAAAGTTTTGGTTACCCAACCAGTAACCGGTAACCAGTACCCTAGAACTTTTGGTTACCCAACCAGTAACCGGTAACCAGTACCCTAGAACTTTTGTTACTCAACTAACCAGTTCAACCAGTAACCAGTAACCAGTACCTACCTAACCAATTGGTTAGCGATCCCTGGTCATGTCTGCGATCCTCGATCTGCAGCAATCGCATGCATGCAAGAGTGATTGCTTTAGGACCCCAAAGCCACCTTTTTTGTTGTTGTCAACAATAAAGGACACCGGAGGTGTAATAGATATACCGGCGAGCTGAATTAAAAGATGGGCCGGCATAAGTAATATTGTTGAAGTTTGGCTGAAGGTAGTGTCATTAGATTTTCCATCTGAGAAAGTGGTGGTAGCTGACGGAGTTTAGAGGTGTGAACATGAGATGTTAGATTTTTCCGTCTGAAAAGTGGCGTGTAGCTTACGGGAGTTTAGAGGTGTGCAACCTGAGACGTTAGATTTTTCCGTCTGAGAAAGAGGTGGTAGCTTACGGGAGTTTAGAGGGTGCAACGTGAGACGCTAGATTTTCCCGTCTGAGAAACGGGCGTGGTAGCTTACGGGAGTTAGAGGTAAACGCTAACCCTAAGGATAAAAAACCAACCAAAACCAACCAAACCACCACCACAAAAAGGACACCGGAGGTGTAATAGATATACCGGGCGAGCTGAATTTTTAAAAAAATGGGCCGGCATAGTAATATTGTTGAAGTTTGGTTGAAGGTAGTGTCATTAGATTTTTGCGTCTGAGTAAGTGGCGTGGTAGCTTAGGAGTTTAGAGGTGTGCAACTGAGACGTTAATTTTTCCGTCTGAGAAAGTGGCGTGGTAGCTTAGGGGAGTATAAGGTGTGCAACCTGAGACGTTAGATTTTTCCTCTGAGAAAGAGGGTGGTAGCTTACGGGAGTTTAGAGGGGGCACGTGAGACGCTAAGATTTTTCCGTCTGAGAAACTGGCGTGGTAGCCTAGGGGAGTTGCCCTCAACTACCAGCTAGCAAGCTGAGGGCCTTTTGAAGTTTATCTTGTGTTGTGTGTGTGTGTGTGTGTGTTGTGGTGTGTCGCGTACATATGGTGCAGTTTCCCTTTGCAAGGTTAAGGCTACCAGGTACCACCGCGTACATATGGTGCGATTTCCCTTGCAAGGTTAAGGCTACCATGTACCGGCACGTACATATGGTACGATTTCCCTTGCAAGGTTAAGGCTACCAGGTACCACCGCGTACATATGGTGCGATTTCCCTTGCAAGGTTAAGGCTACCATGTACCGGCACGTACATATGGTACGATTTCCCTTGCAAGGTTAAGGCTACCAGGTACCGTGCTCTTCCAAAACCCTTCCTTGCTTCCTTGGCCTTTAGAAAAATGCAAGTTGAGGGCACTAGCCTCCGGCTGACTGTCCTTTAGAGGTAAAACGCTAACCCTAAGGATAAAAAACCAACCAAACCAACCAAACGACCACCACAATAAATGGGGTCAGAGATCACCGGGATCTGCCCGGTATATTAAACGGGGTCAGAGATCACCGGGGTCTGCCCGGTATATAAGCTGAGCTTTAGAACACTCCTACTGTACGATCTGAAAGACTGGAGCCCGGGGACAGGATCAAAGATCCAAAAAAGGGCGTTTTCTACGCCTGCCCGCATTATCGCAGAGTTCAGGGCTCTGACATGATGACACACTTTAGTGTGTCAACTCATCCACTTGCTTCTGCTGCAAGAAGTGTTGCACCTGTTGTTAAGGTTCTCAGAGAATGTTTTGAAATGGATGTTGAGGCCTGCAGCTTTCTTCAGGGCGCGCACCAAGAACCTCTTCTGAAGCAAGTACATGATGTGGGCTGGGGAGAATGAAGATACATCTCATATGAGAACCAGGGCCAACTACCCATACCACATTATCCTGAATTGCGCCCATAACACCTTTGCCATCCGCCTGAAATCAACAATGCTGATAAGAAGAAGTTTTTCCTACCTGTCGCACAAAGCATGGCCTTCAACAAGCTGATGACAATGGACTACCATCATCTCTTAATTAAAGAACAAGCATGATTTCACATTGCGACTGGTGGCAGACCCCACTGTGTATCATATGCTTGATGAGCTAGTCCCATTCACCACGATGACAAAAACTTCTATGGAGGAATTCTATCAGATAATGGGATTGCTTGGGAAGGCAACTGCCTGTGGGAAACTTGGGACCTTCCCCACACATCGCAAAAGAAGATCCAGTGGTTGTTTCCTCAGAAGTTAATCCCAGCACATGCCGCACAGGCAGGCATCTCCCCAAGGGGCCATATGGGTGGTAGTGGATTGATTTGTCCCAAGACACTAAACAACCGCCAGAATGATCCATCGATAAAAGGGGAGTAATCTTCAGGATTCTCGCAGTTGCAAACTTTATAGCCATCCTTTCCCAACCCCAACTCTACCACTCTGTTTTCAAAGAACTCGATATCGTCTTTGACAAAGAGGGTTAGGGGATCTACATATGCTCCTGGCTCTTGACATTTGACCTGCCCGTTGCTGTCCACTTGCGGCACGATCGATGTATGGGCACAATGGGCCGCGGGATTGAAACCCACAAATGTAGCATGGAGATTCTTACAACCTCGTGAGTTGCCACTAAGATTTGCGTTTGCACCTACGTTTTCGATGCGTTGCATTTGATCGACACAGTCGCTAACGGAAGTGAATCGATTCAATGCAAACGTTTCTGGACATGTGGATTCGATTGTGGTACAGGTCCACTCACTGGTTTTGTGTCCATTCAAACTCTCTCCAAAAATAAAAGTCATGTATTCTTCAGAGAAGTATACATTGGCTCGTCGAATGCGAATGCCGGTTAGACCAACCGGTCGGAGGTAGATTTTGAACAGTGCGCTCCCTCCATGGACAAATTGATTGGCGGATATATCGTTGGTTGCAAATGAGATGCTGGATACAACAAGGAAGGTGCATTCTCCTTCTTGCGCATCGTCGTCGCTGTCCTTGAGGGAAATGGTCGTGTCCAAAGTCAACCCGACCTCCCAGTGGGGCATGGAATCAACGTCGAAGAATCGAGCATACTCTTCAATAGCATCGACTGCAATGAAGCAGAGTTATGCCAAGCGGAGAGGAAACCAACAATGCAATGAGATGACAGCTTAACTCGCAAAGCAGGGACACTGGTAGCACCAACCCACAAGCAGTGCTAACTTACGTCCTACATAAGAACCAGCCTGAGCCAATTGCATTACGCTGTCATCACTAAACCAGTCAGAGTACCGATCAAAGTTGCCTATTTCGAATCCAGAGAACAGCAAGGCACTCCAGCAAGTAACAAAGGATCCTTCACAAACACAAGATGAAGCTATCAATAGTAGACTTATCGGGAGCACGAATGGCAATCCTGTCATTCTCATCGTGAGATTGCTTCTCTGATGTCTCGTGCTGTCCTCTCGATGGTATCTGCAATACTAGTACAATGCGGGTCGAGAATGGCGAAAGCCTAGTCGAGAATGGCGAAAGCCTAGTCGAGGTGGCGTTGAGCCCTCCTGAAAGGTTGTAAGAAATGTTTATGGTACTCGTACCCGTTAGCGACCAGACGCGTAGAATATATCAACTCCCACCACCGAGAGTAAAATCAACGCACTCCCCCGGAGGTATCAGCGCTGGAGGTGCGCCATGCGCCCAAGAACGAACCATGTACCGCGGTAGTACCGGCATTAGTACTAGTACCAAAAGCCATCAGTTGGTGGCAGCCAGCAATCGGTGGCGATAAAGGAGTCAGGCGCAAAAGGCGACCATGACGGGTTTCCATCGGCGGCACAGACGGGCCAGGCCGAGGAGAAGCCATGCAGTTGGTGGCGGAAATACAATTGGTGGCAACAAACGGGCCAGGCCAATCAGTCATCGTGAAAAGCACACGAAAAGACCGGTCGATCGATGGATCGATCGATCGGCAACAACAAAGCAGCACCGACAGCCATAGTAGGAGGTAGCGGTAGCAGTACTAGTAGCTGTAGCTAGTAGCCGTAGCTAGTATCCGTTCGAAAAGAAGGGGGGGGGGGGAAGACACCATTGTCCTCTTCCTTTGGTGGCTGCTACCAGGTAACTAGCTAGAACTATCTGCAGTGGCAGCCAGTCTAATTGGAGTATGTGTGCTACCACATTGCTCCGCTTGAGTCATGGCTGTAGAAATCTCGATTCGATTCGATTCATCAGAAAGATTTTTAAAAACACAGATTGGTTTCGTTCGACGAATCATTCGAATCGAATCAAATCGAATGATATCGAGCCGAATGATTGTATCATTCGGCTCGACTCGACTCGCTCGATGTCTCGGATCCATCCCTCCAATAAGGGCATGCAGCCAAGCCCTCCCCATGGCCAATCCCCGACAGGTGTTGCCTGCATGAGGATCCCAAAGCCACCACTTCCGTTGGCAACAAAGGCCGAGCTAACACTCCTACTGAACCAGTACCTGGCTCATGAGAATCCTGACAGTGGGCGATGGTGACTTGACGCTTTCCCTGGCACTTGCGCGGTGCTATGGTTCCCAAATCAAGTTGACGGCGACAACCCTCTGTTCGAGCTACCAGGAGCTTTGCGATACCTACAGCAACAGTGCCGATGTGATTCAGGAATTGACTCGACAGCGGCAAGCCACGGTTCTCTATGGTGTGGATGCCACCAAGTTGTCACAGAATCCAGAATTGGTAGCGGCGTCTGTGTTTGACTTGATTGTCTTTCATCACCCGCATTTGGGCTTGATGACCAGTAATGATTCTGCTTCGGATGAACAGTTCCAAGCGCAACGACATTTTGTGCTATTGGCTCATTACTTGGCATCGGCCAAGGCGTTGCTGCTGCTGCAGTGCCGAGAACATGTGCCTGCCACTACTGTCAACCACGACAACCACTATAACCCCATGATCCATTTGTGTATTACCCACCATCAAGCACAGACATGGGAAATGAAACGAGCGGCACAACGCAACGGTCTCCGACTGGTCCAAACAGCCAAGACGAATGCACCCTTTCACGCCATTATCAATCCACTATTTTACACGACAACCACAAAGTTGACGAATCTTCCCAAAGAACCCGGCTTTGCAGCCCCCCGACGGTATCGCAATGGCAAGCTGGGCAGTCATCATTATTTGGCGGGATATGGATACATGCATCGACGGACTCATGGGGAGAAGCATGCGGGAAAGGCGGATATGAATGTAGAAGGATCCAAGCACTACTTTTTTGTCGCAAACGACGATGACAACCAACCACAAAATGATACAGGCAAAGCGGAATCAGGAGAAAGTAGCATCTTTTCTTGTGACATTTGTGGCTTGACCTGTGAATCCAAAGATGCTCTGAACAACCATTTGGAGGCACCTGCCTTGCCCGATCCACCTGCCATGGATATCAATGAGAAGAAAAGGCCACCACCAACGACAGAACATGGTTCCAACAATAATTTTGGCGCACGAGATACAACCGCAACAGTTTCAAACAATGAAGATCAAATTGTAGCAGACAGCAACAACAGCTGGCTCGTCACTAAAGAACACAGTGGCAAACGATTGCGACGCTTCCTGCAGCATGTTGCATTCCCCAAGCGGGCCCGAAAGAAATGCGACAAACTCGTCACCGAAGGGCAAATTTTGGTCAACGGAAGTGTGGCAAAGGATACCAGCCGCATTCTGACTAGTGGCGACGTTGTCTCGACGAATGAAAAAGACGTGACTTTCAAGCTGCAGGCCATTCATGCCTCGCTACAACCAGACTTGCCCATGCTGGCGGCATGGGATGGACCCAAACACAGCAATCCAGGAAGTAGTGATGATGGTCGCTCGTGCAACACTAATACGAACGCTCTGGTGGTAGTAGTGAACAAGCCGGTGGGGATGCGAACCAAGGGAATCTACGAATCGGCTAGAACAATAGAACAGATTGTATCGGATCAACTCGAGGCCAGATACCACAGTTTGTCGAGTGTGGACACTGGCATTGGTGGTCTTTGTGTGCTACAACGACAACCAGTCGGCGGGAAGAAGAAGATTGACAACCAGGACTTTGTAGAGCTAGACAACATCCGTCTGGAGAGCAAGTTTACGGCGCTGGTTCATGGTCATGTCCCAAGCGAGTGGGATGATCCCGGCATCCAAGTGGCCGTACCCATTCGAAGCATTCGCAAGTGGGGACAGCAGAGGGAGGAGCTCCAAGATGATGAGTCCGATCCGGCAAGTACAATGATTGAGGAAGACAATGATGATGACGAAGACCAAGGAGTGGACGACGATAACACTGAATGGGCCATGAAGATTGTGTGTACCGAAAGAACATTAACACGAGGTCGATCCCAAGATGACGAGCCCGCACCTGCATTGTGCACGCTGCAAATCTCGACGACCTGCCAAGCCTCGGGCCTTTGCCGTGCCATTATTCTCTACCTTCGAAAACAACGATATCCCGTGGTGGGAGATCGATTGTGCCAACGGGAGCTGGGTCAACTGCCCCGGTCGATGCGAAACCGCATCAAGAAGAAGTTGCTGATGGGATGTTTTGGTGTTCAACTGAGTGCTACTGTTAGAAGTAGTAGTATTGACAAGAAAATAGGGGAGCCAACATCCACCAATGTCTCTGTTGTTGTTGAAGATGATAAAACAAGGTCGTCTGTTGTGGATTGTCAAGTCGATATTCCCGAGAGATATAGTGCCAATTTTTGGCAAAGTCATTGGGAGAATGCGACAACCCTTGATCCAAACGCAAGCACTAGCTAGTGGCTAGAGAATAATAATAATGATGATGAGATCTCTGCCACTTGCTGATGAATGCCTTGTTTCTTCCCAATGTATTTTGTACTGTACTGTGAATACCATTCTCCTCATCTATTTTTCTCCGGCTTGCTTCCTTAACTTTTCGATTTGTCGTTTGAGTTCAGCATTTTCCTTCTGCAGTCCTTCAACGTCGACATTGGTAGGAGCTCCCATGTACTGCTTGATGTATCCAATCGCATTTCCTGGACGCTCGGGTTCTTCGTACAAGCCTATTTTATTTTAGAATTGAAAAAAGTCACCGGTGAGGCAAATTTGAAGCAATGCTAGCTAGTGTTGTTGACTTAGACAGCCCTTACCCACTAGCACCTTGGTCAACGCATCGAGCACACCAGTTTTTTCCAGGTATCTTCGGAATTCCTCCTTCTTGGAATAGTCAGTATTGTTGTTGTTATTGTTGTTGTTGTTGTTACCTCCGCCGCTGTTGTTCTTCACCCACAGCACCACCAAGAGAGCGTGTTAGTAATAGCACATAGCACATTGGTGAGGCACTAAAATCTATACAATTTGGCCCTACTCTGGCTTCCCTCTTGCTAGCTACACTCACCGAGTTATTATAAGTTGTCATGGTGTCAACGTTTTCAATACGATTAGATGGGGAGAGTAGATAGTACTGCTACTCGACAAAATCAACGACGATTTGATTTGTGGTGAGGCGGTGCATTTCGGCGCCATGGTGTACACTGTAAAAACAAAAAGAAAAAGTCGTACAAATAGGGTTAGAGATGTTTTACATTCTCTGACGTCACACTCAAGAGCACCATCGTAAGAGCAAAACAATTGCACCCCGATGCGACGACGCTCTCGATTGTTGTGGTTCACACGTTGTTGCTGCTGTTTACTTCTCATCCATAACACCGCCACCATGTCTATACTCGAAAAGGTCTTGTCTCCCAGTTGGTACGCCAACTCTGTGGCCAACTCAAGGGTTGCCATGTACAACTACTATCATCCCTTGATGAAGGCTGGAAGGTACGATTTCAGTTTTGGATTTTCATCGGCATCCCGTAGGATCCTACGTACGCATACGTAGGCATTCATTTGGATTGGCATTTGAATTCTGGACTTCTCACGTCGATGTATGTTGCCTTTGTTGTTGTCCTTCTGATGCAGCTCCAAACCCTTCTGGCACTTGATGCTCTTCACCTCGGTTGCCATGTATTCCACATCCTACATGGCTCGGGACTGTAAGTAGTTCTATTGTGATACTACCATTGATTGTGGACCTCTCGCCTGTTCTGATTTCTAATTTGCACCCCTTTGACCGTAATAATAACTGCTACTACAGACCAGCGCATCAAGCAGAAGTTGATCAACCAAGAAAAGGCTGTCCACGAGTACAACGAAAAACACGGAATCGTGGAAGAGCATTAGGTCCAAACGATCGGCACGGGTTCAGTTCCAGAATGCTGTGACGGAAATATCGATTGTTCTTACTACTCTCTTTCTAATACCTCACATTCATCCTTTTGTGAAGGCGAGGGTATTAGCAGAGAGTACCAGATTAAAACCTCCTATTTAATAACATGATTTCTCAAAGTATCCTGAGAGGCAAGCAAATTCCATCTATCTCTTAGTCGCTACTGGTACCAAGGGGGGAAATGTACTCCACAGCGAACCCAAGCTATCTAGCTAGACTAGGTCACGATCGGAACCAAGTTAGTGGTTAACATCTGGCCTATCTGCTGGAGTAGATTCTAATAGGTCATTACTTTAAGTCATTCGCTCTACAAGCTTGATCCCTCACAAAATTGGGGGGAAATTCTATGGACGAACAAAGCATGTATCCGGATACCATGATACCTTATGCCAGTTCCTTGTCAGGAAAAGTAGCCCTCTTGTGATCATGGGGGGTTCCCAGCACCAGACTCGCAGAAATACGGGTACCCTTGTCGACAATCTCTCACTCGCCTGCTTGCAGCCACTTCTTGGTGATCTTGGTCACACCTTCAGGAGCAGCACGGACGTGACCAAAGAATGTTGGCTTTCATGGGAGTATCAGCATTGCTCAGATCGGCACGCCAATGACGATAGTAGTTCATTTCGGTCGACAAGGAATCAATGGCACGATACCCCGCCTGACGGACCGGAGCTTCTCGGTATACCGCGGCTCTGTTGGCACCGAGAAAAGGCTTGGTCATCCAAGGAGCCTTGTATCGCCAAGGGACAAAGGAGAGCTCTGCACCGATATCATGCAAAGATAGTCGCTCATTCCTTGGCCAACCCCGGGTCAGTTCCTCTCCACCAAGTCCATTTAAGCGTATTCTTTATGCTTGGGAATGTCTTTTACCCGCATCACGGACCGGAACAACTTGACTTGCCTCGTACGCGTCTCCCAGGGCTCGAACGGCTCGGTTGACCACGGCAGCATCGGAGGAAGGGAAGGCACGTGCAGCTCAAAGCCCAACTCGCTGACAAAGGTCAAAACACCTTCCAATACGATATGTTGTCACGTCGAGAAGGCTTGATCATCCAAGGAGCCTTGTGTCGCCTTGTGTCGCCTAGGGACAAAGGAGAGCTCTGCACCGCTACCATGTACAGATAGTCGCTCATTCCTTGGCCAACCCCAGGTCAGTTCCTGCTCACGTTGAAGCAACTCGTCGTACAGAGCAGAGCGGTCTTGCGGGCGCCACGTTCTGCCAATGGTTCATCGTAGGGAAAGACATTGGCATTGTTCTTGGCGTGGGATTCATGAGTGCGATTTCGAACCCAGACGTCATCAACAATACAGTCTCGATGAAGGCGACTGCAATCAAAACTGAAGGCTGGGAGATCCTTCCGCAATCCAAGTTGCCACTTCTCGCCCCATACCACTTCCCAACATCATGTCCATGGAGGTGGAGCCACATGCATGGAACAGACCACGCATATTGGGCTGGGGACCCACCAAGGGTTTGTGATCGGGGGTGAAAGCAACGCCACAGTACTGGCAATTCCGGCTGTTTCAAGGAAACAAAAACAATCGTTGCAAATGGCATTGCCGGTATACGGGTGTAGTTTACCGTTCTGCTGCCTTGTGCAGTCACGAATCGAGTCAGTCGATCCCAACCCATTCATGAATGCATGGGATTCAATGCGAACATGCGAACCGAAGCTTCCCTCCCACTTCCGAGACCTCCTCCAACATCCTTGTCCAGGAGGGCCTCTCGTGACGTGGCTTTTTGGCGATCCCAACCGATTACCAGTCGCGCGAGTGCAGTCGCGACCGCAGTCGCGCGCAGTCGCGCACAGTCGCGATCAGTCGCGTCTAAAGTCGCATATAGACGCGTGGAGTCGCGTGGAGTCGCGACACATGTTGTATATATTAATATTAATAATACTAGTAATTAATGAAGGAGTCGCGAGGAGTCGCGTGGAGTCGTTTGGAGTTGCAAGGACTCGTTATAGAACCCGCGTAGAGTCGCGCGCCTTTAAACGGCTAGTCGCGACTCCTCGCGACTCGCCAAACTTTGGAGTGTATAGTGACGTCATCATGGTGTCACCGGAGGCCCTCCAGATCGCATCCATCACCTTCCAGCTTCCAAAAGCCATAACTCAGCTGCTATTCATCTGTCTACTATTAGTCTATCCAACTCAATCTTACTATTACAATAACAAGCAAAATGACACTCACCGCCACAACCATTCTAAGTAGACCGTTCCTCACCAGGATACTTCGACCAGTGGCTCAGAGGAGAACGCAACGTCCACTATTATATGCGAGCCAGCGCCAGTTTTCTTCCTTGGCCTCCGATGACTCGTCGTCGGCGGAAGAGGAAGTGGATGCCGTTTGGTCAAAAATGGATGCGAAAAGTCGCCGTCTGGCCAAACTGTTGCTGGACTCGGATGATCCGCACGATATGGCTTCTGAAGATGCACCAGATGAAGCAACAAGACGACTACGAGAAAACCATATTTTCAATCGACGTCGGGGGCTTTCTCAGGCCATTACCCTGATCGAGAGTTCTCATGCCGACCACCAAAAGCAATCCAATCTTCTCTTGACTTATTTACTCGGACACGAGAATAATCACAACAGAAAAGATCGATCTTTCCGTCTTGGTATCGCCGGGAGTCCTGGTGCTGGTAAGTGACTATTTATCCCATTGTTGCGCATGGATTGAGCAGGACCATGAGTGTCCTCGTATCACGGCAATATGAAACGATGACTCATTTCTTTCTTCTTAATCTTTAGGGAAATCTACATTTGTGGAAGCGTTTGGAAAACACCTTTTGAATTTGCCCAAAGACGACAACCCAGATGCCGACAGCCATGAGCAGTGCAATAAGGTAGCCGTGGTTTGCGTAGATCCTTCTTCAGCAGTTACCGGTGGATCCATATTGGGTGACAAGACTCGCATGATGGAGCTTTCTCGGCACGAAAGGGTAAAGTCAAACATCAGTTGCTCTCTTCTTTTGTGTCCTGTTGTGCCAAAATTTGTTCTTACTCATTTCTTGGTGTGCCGTGCGATCCAGGCTTATGTCAGGCCATCACCCACCAGGAACGTCCTTGGTGGGCTTTCAGCCTATACAGAAGATGTGGTATCTCTTTGCCAGGTGGCTGGTTATGATTTTGTCATGTTGGAAACGGTAGGACTAGGTCAATCCGAAATTGAAGTCAAAGAGAGCGTCGATATGCTGATTCTGATGGTGCCACCAGGAGGCGGAGACGATCTGCAAGGTTCGTGCAAAAAGAGAGGGTTCAGTTGGGAACGGAAATTTGCAGGGCACACACTCAACCTTTTGCTTCCTTTCTGTATTCGAAAGGCATCAAGAAAGGAATTGTCGAGGTGTGCGATATGATTGTTGTGACCAAGGCTGACGGAAATTTTCTCGTGGCAGCAAAGCATACTGCCGCCGACTACCGAGGAGCCCTGCGCATGATGGGGCCCAGGCGCGCTGGTCTGGGCAGTACTTTGGAGGGGTGGGAAACCCCACCCGTTCTGTTGGCCAGTTCCTACGATAATACTGGCATGGATGACGTGTGGGGTGAGATCTGCCGTTTCCGAAACTTGATGATGGAGTCTGGCAAACTTCAAGAAAAGAGGCAGAAGCAAACCAAGTATTGGATGTGGAAGAATCTGCAGAATCTCATCCTGGAGCAAACCAGGACGGATCATGTGCTGAGACAAAAGGCCGAAACACTGGAGCGCGATCTCCGAGAGGGCAAGACAACACCTCGTGTTGCTGCCACAGAGCTGTTGGATAGCCTAGTTCGGACCTAACAATTGACAAGCAATTCCAAATAGACTACAGATATAAGTTCGTTTTATTCAGTGTTTCTCCTCAAAAATGATAGCTGCCATTGCTACGTTAGTCTATCAGTGGTTCCTAGTCTTGGGATAGCCGGGGTTGTTGTTGTTGTTATGATTCGATTCCTGGTGCTGTTAGGAAATAATACAGGTTGATTTGACGGAGTCCACCATATTGGCATTGGCATTTCTTTGTTGGTCTGCCGCTTGTCGCCCCCATTCTGATTCTTGCATTTTTTGGGCCATTCGAATATCTTGCTGTTCGATCTGAGCCTGCATCTGCATTGCCAAGATGCGGTCTCGGTCTTCTTGCGTGGTAGTATGATCCTTGACCTCTTTGATTCCGTCGTCCATCCCATTGTACGCCAGCAAGCTCGATTCCAGGGCCGCCGCCATCAATTTCCCCTCTTGTTCGTCGAGAGTGCCCTTTTTTCCAGCCTTCTTGTCACCTCCGCCACTCATCTGCAGTGCCAACTGGTAGTCTGCTTCGGATTGTCCACGTTGTGCCAACAACTGCTCGGGATCCAAATTGCAAGCCGCATCACGTTGACCCGCGGCGCTCAACTCGGCCTGTGGTGCAGGTCTAGAAAATCCTGCGTCTACATATTCGGTATCGCCATCAATGACATCCAATTTTTCCCAGACCACATTGGGGACGTTGGCGTATCCTAGATCCGTCACCAATAGGTAGAGCAACCCTTCGTGTTTGGTGATGGTGGAAAAGTGGTTGTTTCGGAAAAAGACGCAGAGTTCATTTTCGTCCAGTTTATCATAGAGTACGGCCAATCCATACTGTGTGAGTTGATGAGCCGTGTCTTCGAGAAAGTTGTTGATGAGTTCTCCTACAGTGGCCAGTTTCGAGAGTTCTTCTTGCTTTTCTTGAAAATCGGCGCGGAGTTGTCCGACGGATTGTCGTTTTCCTTTGGTGATGGTTAGTCCATCCGTTTGTTGTGGTTGTTGCTCTGGTTGTTGTTGATCAGCATCTTCTGCCGGAGGCGTACCCACGTGAATCCATACATTGTCACTGCAGTTTTCCAATTTCTTGAGTTGTTCTTCTAGTTTGTGCAATTCTGTGGATGCCTCATTTCCCTGTACGACCGACTCAATCAATTCATTGTAGGTTTTGCACCCCACGAGTTCACACAACTGTTCCGACTGAGGATCCAACAACCAGCCATGTACCATTTTAACACTCAACAGATCAAAGGTGGTCAATTCCTTGGTGAATTCCATGCCCGTGGGTCCATTGGTGAACTTGGGATTGACGTCCATTCCGTACTGCAGTTTGGGCAATATATTGAGTACGTCATGAAAATGCTGCTCCGAGTTGCTTTCGTGCAGATCGTTCGGTTTATTGTAGTTGTAATTCATCGCCTTTTCTGCCAGCATATTGACCACTTCTTCCAGACTCGCACATCCGTTTCGGATGCACACCGACGGAAGACTAATGGCGCCTCGCAGTAAAAGAGCATTGGCCGCGGCTAGTAGAGGACATGGACCATTCTCATTCTGAAGCAGAATCCTGCGATCCTTCTTCTGTCATCCATTTGAAAAAGCAAGGACAAGGCAAGACATGAGATTAGATAGATAAAGTCAGGTCCAAGAACCTGAGAGATTCGACCGACTGAGTCACTCAGCAGGGCATTATCCATGGTATACGCCAAATTCTGAAAGATCCAACGCATGCTACCCATGCTACCCATTGTCGGCAGCTAACCATAGTCGATGTACGCATAGGGCCAGATAGAGGAACATACCTGATATCTAACATTCTTCAGTCTATATGCCATCGTTTCTCTCTCTCTCTCTTCTTTATAAGGGTTCTAGTTGAGGAATCGCGCTTGGGAATGCCAACACCTCGGCTGTCGGTTGCGTTGTTCTGTTGCGGTGCTGGCTCACCCGGTCGATCTCGATCTTTCGGAAGCTTGGCAATTGGATCGTGCATGGCCAATCCCACACTTAACGGCTAGAAAACCAGCGCGTTCACGGCACAAGGATAAACGATGTGGCTTCCCTTCCTGGTCACACCAATCCTATTGCTAGTTAGAGCATTGATAGCTGTCATTCCTTACTCTATTGCACCATTTCGGGCCTCATGCAATATAGCGAATCCCAGAATGACTGGACTTACTGTTTTATCCATCTTTTTCCAAGTGTCAGCTACCGGTACCATGCGTTGCCTAGCTAGCCTTGGCTCGTCGCTTCTACCCCTTTCCTTGTGTACGGTACCTCGTGCGAGCAGGAAATTGTGTGTCACGCCTATCATGATAGCAACATGTCGCTCACATCGTATCGTCTTCCCTGCACGTCTTTCTCTAGCGTTGTCGGCAGTAGAGGAAGTAGTACTGTGGTTCACACGGCTTGTATACCCGATGGTCCCTTCGTTCCTTGTAGCCTGGATTGTTGCCTCAGCAATATCTCGTCATTGCAGCCTCATCTACCGTATTACTATCAAGAGTGCTCAGCCATCCTCCTTGGAGAGGTCTCCATTGATCGACTGCATCAATTGAACAGCTGGCGCAACCTTCTTGGTCAATGTGCGCCTATCATACGATGACCGCTGCATCTGGATGCTGTGACCCATATACAAGGCCAGCGCCTCCAGCTCTTTCTCACTGGCATTCGATTCTCGGACATGGGTCACCAACATGTCACGCAAGAGGTGTGGATTGGTACGCTTTCCAGCCTTATCCCAACAGCATCGACTGACAACCTGATAGACAGAATTCTGTGTCAGTGGTTTCCCGGTTCGACTCTGCGCGAAGAGCGTGTCCGAAACGGGAGACAGGTGAGGACGCCAATGCTCCAGAAAGCCATCCACCCAAGGTGTCAAGTGTTCTGCCAATTGTAGAGGCGGTCGTTCTCCGTACGCTTTGCCCGTCTTGTAGTCTTCGGCTGCATGTCGGATACACCAGCAACCGGTGGTGTCATCCTTTTGAAAGTTCCTTCCAATCTCCAACTCTCGCAACGTGCGCTGACGGTCGGGCACAGACGCAAAGATGGCCAAGATGAGATACTTTTGAAAGAGTACCGCAATCTTCTTTTTGGCTCCTATGGTGGTGGTACTTTTGCTTCCTTGGTGATATTCCTCAAGCATGCCTGAGAGCTCGGTGAGCAGTGCAGTTACAACATTCAAATACTCGGGCCAGGATAGCCACTTTTGCTTTTCGTCACTGGAACGAGGAGCCACCTTTTGTCGGTTGTTGGCATCGCGGTGCAACATGCGAATCTCTCGAATGAGGGGAATGTCATCAAATGACTTTTCGCCATAGGCAGGATCGGATTGACTCTCCTGGGAGAAACGAAACTTTAACAACTTGGTGAGGCCTCGCAGCACATTGGCTTCATAAGAGACCGAAATCTTTCTGGAGGATCGTAGCCAAAGAACGAAACTGAGAATGGGATCGGCAGAGCTCTTTTGCTTGTTGGGGAAAATCTTGTACAAGGAAAGCTTGCCATTGTCGACCTCTGTAAAGTTGTGGGTTGTCGCATACCATCCGAGGAACAACTTGGCATGCCGCAAGTACACAACTGCAGTCGCCGGACGGATGGTTGGTTCCTGCGACGAAGTGGCAGGTTTCGTCATGAAGGAGTAAAAGTCTTGCAATTCGGAGGCAATGGTGGGAAACCTGTTTTCATAGTCAGACGGCAGTCCATAGTCGTATTCATTGCCATCGTCAGATACCTTGGTCCTCCTTTCTTTTGCCCTTGCGTTGACGACCACGGATTTAAACATTGCTCTTGGCGCTGGTTCACTTGATTTTCCTTCCCTGTCTCCATTGATATATTTGCTTTCGTCAGACTTTTCCTTTGTGCTATTGATATTGTTCTTGCTACCATTGACTGGTCCAAGAAGTGCTGCTGAAAGTGATGTTTCCTTAGTTTTCACCTTGTTGGTAACACTGGATTCAGCTTCTTTGAGAGGGAGATCACTAGGTATACTCCTGGAAGCATCGCCCACTTTGACACTACTCCCACGAAGCTGGGCCATGACAACGGCCCGGACTTGATGAGCAATCAATGGGGGCAAACCAAAGTCTGATATGAGTATTGTCGAAAATGATTCTGGTCGCTGCTCAAAATCCTGTGCCATCAGCAGAAGGGTCTGTGCATTGGATTTCCTGTCTTCGAGCAACCCCACTTGAACGAGCTCTTCCAGAATAGTGTCACAAGAAGACTCGGGTATGCCCATGCCCTGCAGCAGTGATGAAAAGGTATCTTCTTCATTGTTGCTCCCATGATGTCCAGGCAAAGACAGCTGATGGCGATTCGCAACGCAAAGTGGTGTTGTCTGGTCCAACAAACATGCCTGAAGTTTGGTTTGGATTGGAATCAGAAAGAGGTATGCCAGGAAGCCCAAGGGTATCATGGCATTCTCTGTCTTCTACTCTTGACTTGCTTGTTGAAGTAATGTACATGTAAGTCAGTTCGTCAGTTCCCTCATTTTTTGGTGGCATTTCAAAGATACTAGTACCGTGCATCCGACATCGGCGATGGTGTGAAAGATCTGCGCAAGTGCGCGACCTGACCACGGCTCAAAGTGCCCCATCGGCCAAAGGTTCCGACGCTCTTGTTTTGTTTTTACCGAGCACCTTTATCTCCCTTCAAGCAAGCGTTGACCAGGCGCTTCGACTAGCTAGCCAGCAAGAAGGAAGAAAACCATGGCAACCAAAGGAAATAAGTCAAAGACCCCACGGTTCAAAGCCAGCAATCTTTACAGGTTACTTCCTGATGAAACCATCCAGGGCCTGAAAGAAGGCACGGTGGATGTGGACAGAGTTGCTAACGAGCTTGTCTACAAGCGACAGTCCAAAGCTTTTGGAGATGCAACACAACAAGCTCTCATTTGGCAGCGCTCGGCTGCTACGGGATTTGCCAAGATGGCTTTTGGAGTGAATAGTTCTGATAAAGTCCAAAACCATCAAGTTAGCATCGATATCGTAAGACTTGCAAGAGAGCTTTGGATTGCATTTGGCCATGAATTGGACAAAAGTCGGGTTAGCAGTATCCTAGCAAAATACGATTGTGTCGTAAGAGCATTCCAGCAGACACATGATTGTTTGCTTGAAAAATGGGCTCCCCGCATTCTCCAAATTACGGGACATCATCCCGCGCACAATTCACCTATGTACCAAACTACTTTTGATCATTTTTCATCTATGATGGCTCATTTTACTAATATACCCGAACATATGGAACAACAAGCAAACAACTTCTGTGCTGAAAAAATTTCGGCTATGGCTGCATGTCGTGGGGTTGCTATTGGGTTTGACCTCATACAGCTCAAATGCTGGGAATGTGGAGTTGACAACAAGGATGTTTTCAAATGTCAAGGCTGCGATGCTGCAAGGTACTGCGGGTTTGAGTGCCAAAAGAAGAGCTGGAAAGAAGGGCACAAATTGAGATGCAAAGTGCTCAAACTCCAGCATGCACTGTTTCAATGCAACAGCAAGGTCATAACCAGAGCCTTGAAAGAAGGCTCAATTGCACCATCATCCACCATTGCACCAAACCCATCCTTTGATTATCAAGCCATCTGTGAAGTGTTTCATGCTGTGGAGGAGTTCAGTTGTAATAAAGATGGATATTCATTAAACAGGATTACAGCAGGAGCATGCATGACCGAGGTTTACAAATGGATTCACGACCTGGAGGATGGTGGCAGCCACTTTGCGCTATCTGAACATGGTCAAGCAAACTCATCTGATTCCATCAACTCTGGTGCTACGGAAGAGCCCACTGAAGCTGAATTAGTGTATGTAGCTTACACTATCATGACCATGGCTGAGAGATGGTACAAGGAAGATACACTGCATCAGTTCAAAATGTTTCTAGGTGGCAATTTGATGTCAACCAAGCGTTTCCTTGAGATATACAAGACACACCGTGATCGGACATTTGAAGGCATTCCTGCCTTGTCATGTTGGGATGCCTACGCCAGTCTGCTGTTCCAAGAGCTCCTTTCAGAATACCACAAGTCGTAGCCCCATATTTGCATGTGAACTCGTTGCTGTTTGACATCTCATGTCATTCTTCGGATGCATGTACCACTACCATATTGAAGAAATTGTTGTTGTTGTGGCTCTGTTGTGACAGATCAAAGAGTGATCTACAAGTTGTCCGTGGATACAAAGCTTCTCATGTCTTGCGAAATTTGAGCTTAAGTCATATCTGCTTCAGTCGCTTGCTTCTTTGTTTTCATCATTCTGGTTGAGAGAGAAAAGAAAGAAGAGACAATGACGTGCTGCCCTTGTTGTTGCTACCAGCACCTTGATGCTGAAGCCGTTGGCCGTGGATGCCCGTGCCAACTGTGAGGATGGATGCTTGTAGCTATGGCAGCCCAATTTGCGTGGAAACCCATGATGTGTATGTGCACTCCTCACTGAACGGGACGCTACTTCCTTGATGAATCATCTGCTGTCATGCATCCATTACTGCCATCTGCCATCGTGATTGTTCTGTTGAGTGACAATAAAAATGGGAAGACATCAAACTGATCATTTTGGATTGGCATGCCACCACGACGCCAATGAGGATATACATATGATGATGGTCAGCCTCCCAACCAACGCTATACCGGTAGCAAGTTCCTTCTGGTCAAGCATGGCGTCAAATCCACTCAGTGCTGAGTTCCACAATTGCCATTGCTGGTACTCTACTGTACTAGCTAGCAACCCGGTCTGGTCGTCAATCCTTGAAAAGCAGAACGGCCATGCTACTAGCTAGCCAGCCAGGACGCAGCTAGGAGGTAGCTAGTGCTTCTGTGACAGCCATTCCTCTTGGTTAGACCACCTACTCTGACAGTTCTTTTACCACCTGAGAGTTGTTATTTTACCACCGCACATCTATGCATACTAGTACTGGTACTACATGGTGTGGCTGTAGCTTCCGGAACAATTTGGAGATTTGATTCCTTTTTACACGCTAACCGGCTTATTCAAGATTTGAAGCCTTGTGCCGTGCAAAGATCGAGACATCGAGACACCCACCACCCATTTTTTTTGACAACCAACAAGAAGATCGAGGCTACCGGTATCATCGGAGCTCGGCAACGACCTTCTCGATGATATTCCATTCTTTTAGACTCATCCCACGCAACTGCTGTCTTATCTATCTAGCTTTCCTATCCATCTAGCTAGCACAAACTCAATCTAGCTAGCTACATAGATTAGCTAGTATGGGCAAGAACAAGAAGAAAGACCCGGGCAAAAAGGCGGCTCTGCAAGCCAAGAAGGATGCCAAAGCGGACAAAGCTGCGAGAAAACGTGCCAAAAAGGATTCCAACAAGGCATCGGATGAGGCTCAAGACAATGATGATAACCAGCAACAATCCTTGGATGATTTATTGCAAGTTTATCGGAAACGAGATATCGAAGGCAGCAAACCCATCGTGGAAACTTTGGAGGGCTTTCCTCCTCCCCGTGGCAATTTTTCCATGACGGTGGTAGAAGACCAAAAGGGCAAGCAGCAAGTGTACGTTTTCGGTGGCGAGTATTTTGACGGCGTCGAAAACATCGTGGTGGATCATTTGCTTCGATGGACGTACACTTCCAAAAACAACAAGGAAGATCACGAGTGGAAGCAAATCGTCATGCCATCGGCCGCCCCGTCGCCTCCTGCTCGCTGTGCCCATTCCACAGTCTATTACAACGGAGGTCTGTACGTGTTCGGAGGAGAACTGGCATCGCCGGATCATTATCATCACTACAAGGATCTGTGGCGTTATGATGTCAAACAACAATCGTGGACCGAATTGAATTGCAAGACAGGCAGTGTTCCGTCCGCCCGCAGTGGACATGCAGCGATTGTGTGGAAACATTACATGGTCGTATTTGGTGGATTCTATGAAGCCATGAAAGATACACCCAGATGGTTCAATGATGTGTATGTATTCGACCTCAAAACACAACAATGGATGGATGTTCCATACTCAAAACTAGGAAATAGACCGGAACCTCGCAGTGCTTGCAACATTGCCGTTGTCAGTGACAATGACGTCGTGGTACAAGGAGGATTTTCAAAGCTGACGGCAGCATCTGCAGGAAAGGAAACCAAGGTTCATACCGATGCTTGGTTGTTGCATCTCAAGCCCATTCTACAAGGGAAACCACCTACGTGGGAGAAACTACTCAGCAGTAGCACTGTATCATCTGCTGCTGAAACGCTCCTGATTGCGAACAACAATACACCACAAAAGAATCCCAATGGACGATGCGCAGCGGCATCAGCCTCCTACAAGAACAAAATGCTCGTATTTGGAGGAGTCATTGATGCCGAACTCATGCATCACAAAGTCGACTCGGTATTTTTCAATGATCTCTTTTGTCTGGATGTCGATCCCAAGCCAAGATGGTTCCCACTCAAAGTGAGAAAGCAACAAAAGGCTGCCGATGCCCAACAGCAACAGCAACAACAAGAGATTCCCGCTGCAATCATCCAAGAGGAAAAGGATGATGAAGAAGACGATGATGATGACAACATGGATCTGGACATGGACGAGGATGATGGCAATGATGACAATCCTCAACCAACTGGTTGGAACATTGATCAACTTCGTGAGAACATGTTTGCCTTTGTCGATGGATCGGGGAATATCGTCTACGAACGTTTCGACAAGGATAACAACAACAAAAAGGTTGTCAGTGACGACGAAGAAAAAGAGGAGGAAGAAGAGGAGGAAACCAAAGAAGAAGAAAAAGAGGAAGATAGCGACGAAGAGGAAAAGCCTGCTGCCAAAAGACCATCCAAAAAGAATGCAGGTGGGCCTGCTGTGGGCAGAGCAACAACCATCACGTCATCTTCCGTGATGCGGCTGGATCCAGAGACCAAGACTCCAGAAGCAATGCCGCGTGACGAACCATTGCCAAGAATCAAGTGCGGCGCAATTATCAACCGAAACACCCTCTTTATCTATGGAGGTTTGGTGGAGATTGGGGATCGGGAAGTTACGCTCGATGACATGTGGAGTCTCGATTTGCGAAAACGAAACCAGTGGAACTGTCTTTGGCCTGGGACAATGCACAAGCAAGTATGGCGGGGTGCTGTCCATGATGACGATGATAGCTACATCAGCACCGGGGGAGATGGTGACGACGATGACGAAGATGATTCCGAGGACGAAGAAGAAGAGAAATCAGGCAGCGTTGCGGGACAGAGTGAAGAACTCGCCAATCTCACCGCTGAGCACGATCTCGGCAATCCTCTTCGGACCCCACAAGACGGAGAAGCCTTGGCTGATTTCTACGCTCGAACCAAGAGCAATTGGAACGATGAAGCCTTGGAGGCTTTGAAACAAGCAGGCGAAACTGAAGAACCATCCAAAAAGCAACTGAAGCGAGAGGGTTTCCAGTTGGCACAGAAGCGGTACACAGATCTGGAACCAGTATTGGCCAGGTTGAAAGAGTTGGGGCTCGAGCCTGGAAAGCAGAAGAAGTCTAAAAAGAAAAAGTAATGAAAGCAGTTTTCTCTGAAAAGATCTACTGGTACCGGTACATGTGCTAGTTAGGTCCTCACCGATTTGCCCTCTCCGCAATCCTCGGGCTCTACCGTACGGTACCGGTACTGCAACAGACTCGACTAATTGGTTTCCACGATGGGCAACCGTCGAGCAAGCTTGAGTAGTAGAAAACAGCAGTCAGATAGCTAGTACGATTATCAGGGCTACGAGGGTCGACGTGCACCCAACGACTCGGAAGTTGCCATCAAATCAACTTAAAACCCTGAAACACACGACGTTGTCGTTTCTACCAAGCAGTGAAGCTTTTCCGATCTCTGGTCTCAATGGCGTTAACGAGCCGCCATCAATTTTGTCAATCCTCGTCAGTATCATACCGTACCGTAGTTGTAAGGGGCCGCTGCGAAGGCTGCGGTTTCGACCAGCAAATTCTTGAAGGGCTGCCCCGAAAGTATCTTACCCTGGGGCATATGATGAAAACTATCAAACTTGACGGAGTAGAACATTCGATTGGTCTGGGTTGGCCGGCAACTACAAAACATTGCAGCAACAAGAAGCGTTCTGAGCGATCGGGAGAAGCGGCTCACCGGTCGTTCTCTCGTAAATCAAAAACTCAATCACTTCCGCAGCGAACGCTCTGGGGTTCGTCCAGTCCCAGCTTTTGTACACTTCTTCGTCCCTTTCATCAATTACAATTTCCTGGAGGGCCTTGTCCTCCGTGAATGTCCCGATCTCGCTTTGTGGGGCCGCGTTGACGTCCTTTGGTGGCGTGTACGGAGGCTTTTTCTTATCTGATATTATTTCCTCCCACTTGACTCTCCTGAACCACGGATGCGCCATGATCTCCTCGCACCCGTTCGCGCCTAATCTGGTTCTGTGGTTTTTGTCAAGTAGCCGTTTGCAAAGATCCGCGGCTTCGGGATCGAACTTTTCGGGGTTGAACTCAGGATCCATCTCCTGTGTTGCACAATCAATGGCTTTTTCCTATCGACCAGTAGCAGACAGAGAGATGAGCGAGCGACGAAAACAGAACGACCAGCTGCAAAGTCCAGTACAACAAACATACCTTGGTTTGTTTGCCACGCTCGAGGCCAAAGTTGAGTGCTGCCTCTGATCGGAACGGATTCGAGCCCGAAATAAACTCGGCCACACAACAACCAAAGCTAAACCAATCCACAGCATGCCCGTATGGCATTCTTCTTCCGTTCTTGTCACGTTTTAACATTTCCGGCGCCCAGTAACCTCTTGTTCCGGCAGCGCCGTGGAGCGTTGGTGTGATTTTTGTGGCAAGCCCAAGATCCGTAATCTTGACTCTCCCGTCTTCTGCCAACAAACAGTTCTCCGGTTTGAGATCTCTGTACACGTATTGTTGGTCATGGAGCGCCTGCAGTCCGAGCATGATACGCGCTGCATAGTAAAGGCACTCTCTTTTGTGGAACTTTCCTTTTTGATGTAGATGGTAACCCAAGTCACCTCCAGTCATAAGATCGAGAATCAGGAACACGTCGTCCTTTGAATGGAATGAGTACTTCAAGTTGACAACAAACCGTGATTCCACGGCCGCCAGTGCTTTCCGTTCGTTCAGTGCTAACTGTTCCGACTTTTTCATTTTGATGCGTTTTTTGTTCATCACTTTCATGGCATAGAGTTGCCCAGAAGTTCCCTTTTTACAAGCTAATGTATTTCACAAAAAGAGTTGCAATCGGATGATCAGGTGAGCAACAACAAAAAGCACGACTGATGTGTGACCGTCAAGATCAGAGGCAGAAAGCACATATACAACAAAGCAACGCATCCCTTACCCGTGACGAGTCCAAATCCTCCTCGACCCAACACTCTCATGACAAAGAAGTCCTCTGGTACTACCCGTCTATCTTGGAACCAAATAAAGTTTCTCAGCTTGGTATACCAGATGGACTCTTTGAAAGCCTCATAGTATTGTCTCCGTAGGGCCTCAAAGACTACAGCCTCGGCTTTGTTGAATATATCAGAGGGCATATCCCCCGCAGCATCGGTCCGTAGCCGTCTGGTCAAGTCTCGCATGGACTCGCTGGAAATAGAAGTCGGTTGCAAGGGTTCTGACTTGCCGCCCCCTTCTACCGAGGGTCGTTGCCTGGCAGGGTCATCTCCAGCGGGTAAGGTCGGTACTGACTCTGCCTTTTGGATGGATTCTGCTCTGTCTAGTCCGGACTGCACCGATGTGATGAGTTCGTCTCTCACAGCGCCTTTAAGGCCAACGCAGCAAAAGAGGTTTTCAGAGTCTATACTCTGATTGCAGAGCGTTTGGAATTCCTCGCTCGTCATTCCCAATTTGGACGGTTTTCTATCGAGATCAAGCTCTTCAATCTCCGTTCTGGGCGGCAATTCGGGCTCTCCATTGTCAAAGTTGCGTTTGGGTGATTGCAGGTAGTTTGAGAGTATGAACCTTGCCTTCTCGACCCGTGTTTTACCTCTCGACTTTTGAAACCGCAGGACTTCCTCTACAAAGTTGATGCGTACGTAGTCATCCTTTTCGCTTTTGACAAAGGACGAGAAGTGGAAGAACCCAACAGCAGACGACAGGTACCATTCAAAGGAAAGCGGCTCCCCGTAGCGTCCACTGGCTCCGTCGCTCTGTTCTTTGCATTTCGTTTCCCATTCGGCTAGTTGCTCCTCTGTCGGGATCTCCCAAGGAAGAACCGGCCGCGGACCGTCTTCCTGTGTCGAAATGGCGTTGACATATTGGGCGTCCTCGATGGCATCTTGCAGTTCCTCCATTGCGAATGTGTGTTTGTTGTGGTCAAGAGCTTTTTGTCACTCGGCACCTAGCTGTCTAGCTCGATCGGAAATTCCAATGGATTGAACTGGTTTGCTCGATCGTTTCTGCGTAGGTTGTCGCGGTTGCACAGAGGCTGAATAGAATAACAATGCCTGACTAAAGTCGAGTCGTCCTTCTCTTTCCCACTTGGGTGCCAATGCAGCTTGTCGTCTCTTGCGGTACCAGCACCAAGAGAAGCGACGGCACCGGCAGCCAACGGAGCGACGACTACTAGTACGTCCAACCAAAGGACTCTCTATCAAAGACAGCGCAACACTTCTGTGCCACAACAAGCAGTAACCAAGGCAGAGACTGACTGTTGGTCACCGTCGTACTGACAGTAAAAGAAGCAGCCTGAGAGGTGTAGAAGGCGTCGCTGTCAATTGCAGCATGAACAAACAGCTCCAGTGGCACCGGCACCAGCACCGAGGGTTGAGTCTTCTTTGCAGTCATTCCAACACCCCGACCAAAGGGTGGATTGCAGGCCGGCCCTCCTTGGAACGGACCAACTTTTCTTGATGCTCGCCTGGCTTCAGGGGTGCCCAAAAGATTTATTCGTCGATGTCGTCAAATGAAGTCTTTTATGTCCTTGAGACCTGCTTTCTAGTCCTGTTTAGGAGAACCCGACGCCAGCCTCGAGAGGGAAAAAACTAGAAACCTCATTCTTCAGAGATGAAGATGAATATAAACTTAAACTCTAACCCTACCTCACTTAGGAGCAAGAAACGGTGACTTGACTGACGCGATGACGTTGGTGGCATCCCGCCGCTGGATCCAACATCCAAACATCCAAACCATCAAACCAAACACCACAAAAATGGAAAGGACGAGGATCGAAGAAGCAGACAAAGAACCACAAAAGAATACAAGCACCACCGAAGACAACATGTACAGAAGCAACAAGCTAATTTCACTCGGCGTCGCTCTTTTGGCGGTTGCTCTCCTGAGCAGCACTGCCAATGGGTTTGTTGCTCCAAGCGTTGTTATACCCCGAACACAGAATGCGCTGCAGAGGTCCCTTCCAACTACAACACAACAGGATTTTTGGCAAAGAGAAATGGCGGCAGACAGCAACAACAATGATGGAAAGGCAGTGGAAGAAAACAAACTCCCGTTTTATCTGGATCCAGGAACCAAAGGAGGCGCCATCTTCCTGTCATTGGTCGCCTTTGTGGTGCCTATTCTCTTTTACGAATTTGTCACTGTCGTATTTGGTGTGGATGGACTGGAAGCCGGAAAGTGGATTGGCGGGGGCTTTACGGTGCTTGCCACGGCTGCCTGGGTTGGTTCGTATATCTTTCGAGTGGCCACCAAAGATATGACCTATGTGAGTGATTTTGGAAATCGACCTCCCCATTTTCTTGATGTATGTGCGGGTTGTTCTTTCAACTAATAACTGTCAAATCTTTGGGTTTCTGTGTGATGTATGTATACAGGCAAAACAACTCAAGGACTACGAGAATGCCGTAATCGCCAAGCGACTGGAAGAACTGGACGAAGATGAGCTTCAGGCCCTTGTGGAGGAGGTGCGATAGACAGAGTGCCTGATGATTGGTTTCCTATTGAATCGATTTCCGTCTCACCATCACCAAATGTCTTTGTTTTTTCTTCTTCAACTATAAAGGTCGAACGTGACAGCTTCTGAGCTCTAGCTACCGGTCCTACAAGTATCAATTGACGGGACCGAAAACTTATTTGCCAACAATCTTCCCTGTCGTTTCAATCAACCTTTTTGTCAAGAATGAATCACGAGCCAAGGGCTCGGTTACAGACAGGATTGGAACATTCCTATTGCAGAATCGAATCACCCAAAGCTGCCAATACGCATATATGCATCAATAGGGTCTGTTTGTAGGAAGAAAAAGCTGCTATTGCTCATGAAGGAGGGAGTGTAATGTTTTCAAAACTTACTTGTGTGTACGGTACTGTAGGCTTTTTTCGTCGAACTTTTGCCGTAACGCAGCTGGTGTGGGCAATAATAGTACGTAAAGTTCAATGTTCATCTAGTCGTTAGTGTTGGTCGCAACAGTGCTCCTAGCTTAGGCTCACCCCGGCCTGTGATTCTAAGATCATGGTTCGTTCGTCTGTGTGAAGATTCACGATCTACTCAATCGTTTCGGGCCTTTCTAGCTAGATGGGCGGTGCTATCTCTTGAATCGGACGGAGGCTGATTGGTGAACAGTTTCGGATGAGCAACCGTCATCAGTGGCACAGTGCAAGGTTATCAGGGGGCATACGCTGAGGCAAACATTCAAACATGCCACATCGTGATCCTTCGAGCAGAAAAAGTAAGTGACTTTATCATTATATGGAAATTCTGTGGATAGGCGGCCATCTCTCCTGGCTGGAATTGGCATTTAGTCAAAGGGTAGATAGAGGTCAAGACGCCTAACCAACAGTAAGCGGGATATTAGGAAGCGAACTCGCCAGGGGGGTATTGTGAGCTGATGCCTTTCAGGCCCGTGACCGTCCTGATCGTGTCCGTGATGGCCAATCAATCCTTTTAGTTAAGAAGCCATGGGCCAATTTCCTTGTCCGAGAATGGGGTCTTCTCCCTAATTCAAACGAATTCCATGGGCATCCATGTTCAAGAGAATATGTCAGCACTTCCAAATGGCCACAAACAGCAGCACAGGTACTGGTGTGTTCATCCCAAGGACAGCCATTTTCGTGAGCATGTTTCAAAATATCCAAATGACCATTGATAGCAGCCTCTCTGCATGTGCTTTCATCCCATGGACAGCCATTTTCATGAGAATACTTTAGCACTTCCAAATGACCATTTA